CCTCCGGGGCAGGCGGGAATCGAACTCATGCGGAGGTGGCTTTAGCTTCTCAGTGCAGTGCTTTAACCCGCTGCGCCACCAGGGAGGGCCCCCAATAATATTTTTTAAAAGAAATTTGAACCAGATTAAATTCTGATTTTACTTAGAAATGATGTCAGAACATAATTCTGAGGGTTTCATATATAGTGAGTGGTGGGAAGTTCCTATATATTTTGCTTTTTGGCTTTGGGTCAGTTTTTTTTGTTTTTTTGTTTTTTTTCATTGAAATGGTGTCTCCTCATCTCCATCTTACGAATTAAAACCTTTCCAATCAAATGTGTACATTTTATGAAGCCATATATTTAATGTTATTTAAAGAAGCAAAAATATTTACTGTAGACTACCACAAACATAAACTAAATTCTCTCAAATTTCAAATATCATGCTATTATGAGTTCCATCTCCAACCAGGGAGCTGATCCTATGGTGCAGCAGACCTCTCCTGACCCGCCTGCTGCTCCCCTCAGCAGTGTGTTTCAGCCCATCTGCCTGTTCTGCTCCCCACTCAGTCATGGTGAATCCTCTCACCCTCCCACCACAACTCTGGCCTACACCTTGGCTCTTGTATGCATAAATAAATTAAATAAATATTTTTTTAAAAGTCATGCTATTGTTATGCTCTGAATAGTGGACACCTACCAGGAAGTGGGACTTGTGCCGGGCCACCACCATAAGACTGGGAAGGTGGCTGTGGATAGCCTGGATAGCCTGCTCCACCTGGTGGGGCTCCAAACCCTTGGCCTGGAGGAAGAAGAGAAAAAAATAAATATGGTAACAGTTTAATGAGAAAGTTTTAGAAAAATATCTACCATTGACAGTAGAAAAAAATGTGCTAGTAATGCACTGCCAACAATTCCTTTTCATCTAAATTCTTCTCACAAACTCCTCCTTCTACAATAAAAAATAAATTAAAAAAAATTTACTTCATTGATCTTCCTAGCTAACTTATAAAAGTGACATGTTTTTTCTTTTACCTTTGCACAAAAGTATCCTAAAGGTTACAGCTAGGTTAACTAAATTCTCTTAATTAGGATTACAAGTAATGAAGCAAGATGTATTAATTAATTAATTAATGCATTAATTAATTTAGATTAAGCAATATATTCATCCTTAATTACCGTAAAACATATTCCAATTCCTTTAACAACAGAAGTTTTGACACTCTTCCTTGTTTTCATGCCCCCTAGAAACTTCATTCTTCTTTCTGGCTAGCTAGATTTTGACTGTCTAAGAGAGATTAAAAGTGACCCTGACCTCATGTAAAAGAGATAAGAACAAAGAGGATAAAGAATAAAGGGGTTAAAGACAGTGCTATCAAGCTATCACTGGCCACTGCAGCACGAGTTTGGACCCAGGCCAGACCAGGGAGGTGACCCACATGACACAGCCAACTTCTCCTATCTCACCTGCTGCTCCCCTTAGCAGTATGTTTCGGCAAACCTGTCTTTTCTGCTCTCCAACTCTGTCTCTGGTGAATCCTCTCACCTCCTCCACACCTCTGGCCTACACACCAGTTCTTGTATGCATAAATAAGTAAATTGTAAAAAAAGAAATAAACACTACAGCAATGACAAATCATCCTATGTTCACCAACCCATAACTTACCTCCAGGGTAGGATGGGGAGCCCCCTGTCTGTGGAGTTCCAGGATAGCCTCCAGGAGCTGGATAACCTCCAGGAGCAGGGTAACCTCCAGCTCCAGGGTAGCCACTGCTTGGTGCTGGTGGGTAGGCACCTCCTCCCATGGGAGGAAAGCCGGTAGGATAAGGATACTGACCAGGAGGGGGAAAAGATGACTCCTGACCAGCAGGCTGAAAAAGCAGAATAACTTTCAAGTGCATATCATCACAGAGAAATATGACCCACATAATAAAGGGAACAAACTGAGATAACTGGTAAGTCTAGCTTACTCCTTTGCATTTTAAAAGTTCTATTACAAGTCTTCATATCTGGCCCTCCCTAGTGGCACAAAGGGTTAGGATGCAGCACTGCAAGCTAGCTGCAGCCACTTCAGTGTGAGTTCAATCCCCAGCCCTGGAGGTGACCCACATGGCGCAGTAGATCTTTCCTGTTTCACCTGCTGCTCCCCTCTAATCCCTTCGGTGATATGCCTGTTCTGCTCCCCACTCTGTCTCCTGTGAATCCTCTCACAGCCCCTGCACCTCCGGCCTGTACCCCACTTCTGTATGCATAAGTAAATCTTTAAAAAAAGAAAAGAAGTCTTTATATCTTAAATGCATCTTTCAGTACACTGGTTTGTCAGGATACTTGTTTGTCAGACAGAGTGGAGAACAGAACAGGCAGATCAACTAAGTACACTGCTGAGGGGAGCAGCGGGCAGGTCAGGAGAGGTCTGCCATGCCATGTGGGTCACCTCCCTGGCCGGGGATAGAACTCGTGGTGAAGCAGCTGCAGCCAGCTTCATGCTGCTGCGCTTTAACCTGATGTGCCACCAGGGAGGGCCCAGTTACACTGAATTCTATTTGTTTTTCTATCTGGAAGTAATAATAAGTCTCTTTCCAAACCTTAAGGCTTCAGAACAACCAATACATTTTATTAGTTCCTTCATTTTCTTAGTACCCAGAAATGTGAGAAAGAGTCCCCTCTCCACCTTAAAGAGAGAAATTCATGGCTCTCTTACAACACACCCAGACCTGTTGCATAAGAGAGGGGAAACAAAAAGACAACCTGAGTCACACCTGGGTGTGACAGTTTAGATTTCAGTTCAGCTAATGTCAATGTATGGCAGAGATTGTTATTCTATGTTCACAAAAGTCTTCCTTCTCTGGCCGAAAAGCTAGACTACATTTCACAGACCCTATTACAATCAAGTAGGACCGCATGACAGAATATTAAAACCACATGGTGAATGAGTATAGATGGGAGAAATGTACACCACCTCCAACCTTGCCCCTAAAAAACCTCCTGCCCAAGGGTGCACTGGAGATCTCCAAGGTCCTGGAAGGTGGCAGAGCCAACACATGAAGGAACCTGGGAACTGAAAGATGGCATGAAACAAAGCCTCCTCCCACACTGCCACTTCCATCACCTGCTCCAAAAGTCTGAGATATTTTAGTACTATAAGTGGCAATACTTACGGGATATCCAGGGAAAGGCGGGTAGCCCGGGGGAGGATAGCCTGGGTAGGACATTCTGTAACAATAAAAAATGCCCTCTGTCACTTTTATAAGGGGTAAGCCTTTGAAGATATAGATTGTCATAGGGTTTAATATAAAATATTTATACACTCATTTCAAAGGAGTCTGGCAGGCATTCAAATGTAGCTATTAAAGATATAAGCAAAGTTTGTAATACTTCATTTCACCATTTGTACTAAAGGAGTCAGCACAGCCCAGTAAATGTTCCAACTTCATTCTCCTCATACCACATAATTTCTGTCACATATGAATAGTACTAGCCCTATTATTTATGGAATATTTAGATCAGTTTTTCACTTAAATCTATTTTTAAAGGTATGTTTTCTATCACTTCCATAAATGGAAAACTTAGGGGGGTTTTTTGGCCACCAGAAGATAATATTAAAAAGAACATATAGATATTAAAACAAATATTTTGTAGTTCCACAGAAATCACCTTACAAGATATAATGATACCACTAAAAACAATGGTTCAATGTTTAAGAGTTAACACCCTGTAGCCCATATATCTGGATTAAAGCAGTTTTAACTTTGATTATGAAAAATTTCAAATTTATTTAAAAATAAAGATAATAATATAAAAAATGCTAAGTACTCATCACTCAGGTGCAATAATTAGCAAATCATAGCCAAATTTGTTGTTTTAATATTTTTACTTACTACCTAACACTCTACTGGATTATTTTGAAGCAAATCCTGATACTTTTCCATGCTTACACATACCTCAGTACATATTTCTAAAAACATTAGTACTTTCAAAATATTACAGGGATATTTAAAAAATATAACCATACTCTCAATGTACCAGTGTTAAAATTTCCAATTATCTATTAAATATTTTATTTAAAAATTATTTAGCAGAAAACATGGAGCTTCCATACGACCTAGCAATCCCACTCCTAGATATCTACCCAAAAGACACAAAAACACTGATTCAAAAAGATACCTGCACCCCCATGTTTATTGTTGCTTTATTCATAATTGGAAAGACATGGAAACAGCCCAAACGCCCAAAAATGGATGGCTGGATTAAAAAGATGTGGTACATATACACAATGGAATATTACTCAGCAACCAAAAAAAAGAAACACATGTCTTTTGCAGCAACATAGTTGGAGCTGGAAAAGATCATGCTTAGTGAAATAAGCTAGAAAGAAAAGGAAAAATACCGGATGGTTTCACTCATAGCAGGAATATAATGTTAACAGGGGAGAAAATAATGATAATGATGAACAGCTACATACCAGAGACATTTTATGGGGGTGGGGTGGGGAAGGGATCAAAAACAGTGAGGGGAGAGAAATGCACTGGACTATAGTGATGGCACATGGGTGATTTGGTGATGGGAAGCCAACAGGGATTACAACTGGGATGAAAAAATGCACAAAATGATATAAAAATAAACTATTATATTTTTAAAAAATTTGTTTAGTAGAAAAATCCAAACATTTAAAAGTAGAAAGAACAGAATTAGACTACTGAAATTGTTGTTTTTATATAAAAACATTTTTTATGGCTCAACCTAATATAATTGAAGCCCATGCTTTCTTTATGGTCAGTTTCAGTAATTACCAAATAATAGACAAATCTATTTATCACTTGTACCACAATCACTACCCTATCCTAGAATATCTTAAAGCAAAATCCTATAACTTTTTATTCATAAATATTTCATTTTATTACCTATAAAACTACAAGGACTCTTTTAAACGATAGCCATTTAATAATACTATGTCTATGAAGAAATCACCACTGCTAAAACAAATGCAAATAAACAATAGAGAAAAAATTCAAAGAAAACCTTTTCTTAGCATGATCAAACCCAAAAAACAACTGTTCATGGTCAAATGTAATTATCTGGCAAATACATCAACACAGTCAAAAATTGTTTACATCTTCCATAACACACCATGAAAGGCTGGAGAGTAAATACACTATCAAAAGTTTAAACTAGGTTTTAAAAGGAGAAAGACACATTGTCAAGGAATTAAAACAATGTCATGAGCAAAGAAAATGATGGTATATAATTGTTACATGGACTATGACCAAAACAAAATGAGAAAGGGCAGATTAAGATAGAAGTAAATCAAGAGGCCTTCAGTGGTGGTGTGGAATTAAATATTCACCATTCTCTACCAGATAATATTCCTTATCTATCAATAGTACCGTACTTAAGTTACCAATTACTCCAGTGGAGCAAGTAAGGCAATATTTTTCCATTCTTCCTTCCTTTGAAATACCCCTCCTATTTTTCTTGTTATTTTTACTCTAATTAAAAATATCCTTAGACCATGTTTTCATCATTGGCACTCATTTAACTGAAATTACTTCGCCATTTACATCCTTGTTTATGGTCTTACTCTTTCAGTTTTTCTGGACAACATTTACCAGATGAACACTTATAAAATGCTTCTTTTTCAGCCTGTTGCTCTTCAGGTCCAAATTCCTCACTGACTGCTACTAGAGTATCAAATGAAAATTCATCAGCCTGACAGGTCTCCTTAGCACTGGCTTGAATTCATCTATTCAATTTATCTCTTACCAACACGGAACCTTAATGCGAAACCTCTACCACTTGAACCACTCCCAACATGCCTTTGCCCAAGTCACTGTTATCATTAACTGACTTCTTGGCGCTTACGCCTTGGCTCACTCACTCTCTTGACTTACCCAGCTCAAATCTTTCCTCTCCCTTTGCTGAACAATGTATTAGATAAAACCGCAGTGTATCTGTGAATCACACAAGGATTTGTTAAAATGAGGACTCTGACTCCGTAGAGCTAAGATGGCGCCTAAAAGGCTGCATTTCTAGTTAAGCTTCCAGGTAATGTGGCTGCTCTTGGTCTGTAAAATTTGCTTTTGTACCAGAATATTTTGCATTTCTGGATTTACCATCTAATTTGTTACTTTTGGCTCTTCTCCCCATACAGTGGCAAATGATTTCTATTTACTTTATACCAAGACCCTAAACACATATGGTTCAACATTTATGAAAGTTCATTATACAATATTCATTGTCCTAGGTGTTGATAAAAAGATAGGGGTAGGAGGGAAATAGGCTGCCTTTTGATCTACAGCATAGGAATATAAGATAATGAATTTATTATAGTGGCTTAAGAATGAAAGGGCACATATTGAATCAAAGTTGTAAGTTAAATAGTAAAGATAATTAGAAAACTGATCCAGGCAGTTCTAAAATAGTCATTTGGGGTTCTAGGTGTAAAAATAAGAACAGGCTAAGTTGTTTTTTGCTTACTTCTTCACCATGCCTGGTTAGTAGGATATAAAGGCTCAACAGCATCTAAGAATAGTCAGAAAGATCAAGGGCAAAAGAGGCTAGGATCAAAAGAGAAAATAATGTGAAAATAAGTTATAAAAGAAATTAATGATTTTAAAGGCAATGTGTAGTGTAGATGACATAAGCAATTTAAATTCCTAATACTCAGGAACTGTTTCAGTGATAAAGTCCTATTTCTAATTTTTTAAAGCTATGATATATTACCTTTAAGGACCTAGAAGAATTATGTCAAAAGATTTCAAAACAAAATGAAAACATCTGCATATGAGGTGAAAAAGCAATTTTAAGAAAGTAAATTTTGATACATTTTGAAAAATGTAATTACATAAAGGACTGGAATGCAATTCCATTTCAAGGGATGTACTTTAAAGAAAACCACAAATGCAAAATAATGTATGTACAAGGCTATTTACTACACCACTGTTTGTAATAAGAAAAGGTTAAAATAATTAAAAGTCCCTCAATAAGGAACGGATGAGGGCGCAATGGATTAAAGCACAGCACTATGATGCTCTCTATAGTGACTGCAACACAGGATCGAACCCACATGTCCCAGCAAACCTCTCCTGTCTTGCCTACTGCTCCCCTCAGCAGTGTACTTCAATCAATCTGCCTGTTCTGTTCCCCACTCTGTTTCTGGTGAAGCCTTTCACCCCCACACCTCTGGCTTGTACCCCAGTTCTTATATGCATAAAAATAAATCTTTTTAAAAATGAAATAAAATAATTTTTTAAAAAAGAAACCATCTCTAAATTATATTAAGTGGGGGCAGGTGGTGAGAGAAGGAAAGAGTACATAGATAACTTTCACCCTTAATATAAAATATAGTTACCTTAGTGTGAAATATATTTCTTCTATATGTAGAGAATATTACTGAAAGTACGCTCCAAAAAGCAGAAAACAATTTGTTCTCAGGGAGGTGAGAGAGTAATGAGGCCCACTTTTCTACATACCTTTACCACTTCTGGAATTTTACATGTATCATCTACACAGAACATAGATTTTACAAAACTCAGGGTGACTCAACAAATTACTCACTGTACTCAAGGCATAAGACTCTATGGTGGGCCAGAGCTTTAATTTTTCTTTTAAATACTGTGTCAGCAATTACTTTTAAAAGATTAGAAAGTCATTCTTGGTCCTCCAAACCTTCTCCACCCAGTGAGTCAGCTACTACTAAAAGGGGTGGGTCTCACTATGGAGACTCATAGATGGCATGAAGCCCAGGAACACAAGAGGCACTTGCAAATTTAGGAAGCAGGAAAGTTGACTGAAGATGGCCAACAATTTTCCAAAACCTGCCTTTTGGTAGGGAAGGACAATTTAAATCAGCTAACAAGGGCCCTTGGTAGAAAATAAGAGGCTTGGGTAGCCTCCATAGGGACTTGATGGCCATCTTGGTGAGGACTGAAAGGGAGGTTGAGTTTGTAGCAGCCAAAATGATCTCTTGTACTACCTAATGCCTGTGACTCCTTCCCTGCTTGAGATCACGCATTACACTACTTGTCTGATTAAGATAGCTTATTTCATACCAGCTGCTTATCAGTTGGCAGAAATCATGGAGTTTAAAGGCAGCTTTAGGGTGAATGTCATCTCCCTAAACGTTTGCACAGGTTGGGCTGATAACAATAACAGCACACGCTTGCAGCGGTTCAGGGAATAGTAATCAAATCTGGGATGCTGTTTGCTGGAATCGTTTCCAAGAATTACAACCTTCGGCTGGTGTACAGTTTGGCTATGGATTCTATCCTAGGGTTTACTAAGCACAGTCCCCAAGTTTCCATAAATTTGCTGTGTCACCGGGAAGTCTAGTCTCCAGTCCGACTTAACTTTCGGCCCCTACGCGGTCGAGGTCGCTTAAGCAAGGCCATCTTCTGGCCTCAGTTCCTCCACGGGCGGTTCACCTGCGCACGCGGGCGTCACCGCTCTCTGATCTCCGGATGCCCAACAAGTACAGAACCGACGGCCGCCGATTCATTCCACTCCCCCAGCCTGCTCACCACCCGCAGGTTCCCCAATTCCACGCCAAAGTTCCTCTGCCCCGACAGTCCCGCACACTACCCGGGGCAGACGCGTACACAGCGTCTTCTGCCCCTGGGAGGCCCACAGGCCGCTCTTCCGCCCCAAGTCGCGGGGACGCAGTCGGGATCCCCCCTCTCGCGGACCGCGGGCCTCAGAGCCGGCAGGGCGAGGAAACGCCGGGGGACGCGGGATGGAAAGGGTAGGGGGCGCCGTTCCTCACCTGTCAGCGAGAGCAGCGTCACTGCCCAATCCAGTTGCCGGCAAGATGGAGCTAGAGGAGGGCCGGGAGAAGGCGGGGCCCTGGTGGCCGCCGCCCGAGCCCGTTAGCACAACCACAGCGCCGGGAACGCCCCCGGGGCTGGCCCGGGCGGCACCTGGCAGGGCCTGCCCCCCGCGGCCTGCAGGACCCGGACTGGGGCTCCCCCCACCCCCTGCCTCGCCCCGCCCCTCCGCGCCCAAGTTCCTCCTGCCGGGAAACGACACACCCTTCGTGGACCAGCCAGTTTGATAACATTTCTAGGTCCCAAGGGCCCTTCCCAACTCGGTTTTGTGCACCTTTAAGTCACAGGAAGTTGCAGGGTTTCTGAGGGATCCTGGAGCCCCTTCAGTGGCGGGCAGCCGAGAAGGGAAGAGTCTGGAGGGGTGAGTCTGCGAGGCCAGTTCCAACCTCTGGGCCTCAAGATAGGCTGAGTTCCCTGTATCTTGTAAGGGCTTCAAGGTCTATGTGTTTTATTAGCTCCCCGTGAAAGGAGTTCAGATTGAGGATCCTAGATAGTAGAAAATCGAGATATACTAATCAAAATCACTCCCCAAGTAAGTTGTTAGGTGATTGGGAAATCTCCACGTGCAGAGCCTTTGTATCTGGCACACACATTTAAAAGCATTAGCACTTGAGGACTCTCACCATTAACTTTCTTTTTTTTTTTTTTTAAGGTTTATTCATGTATGCATACAAGAACTGGGGTACAGGCCAAAGGGGTGTCTGTGTGTGGGATGAGAAAGAGAGAGAGAGTGAGAGGATTCACCAGAAAGGAGTGGAACAGTCACATCCACCAAGACATACTGCTGAGGGGAGCAGCAGCAGGCAGGACAGAAGTCTGACACACCAAATGGGTCACCTCCCTGTCTGGGGACAGAACTTGTACGGCAGTGGCATGCTTTAACAGGTGTGTCACCAGGAAGGGCCCCCTCACCTTTATCTTAAACTTAATAAGATTTCATAGAAAAAATCAGTCAACTAATTTTTTCACTAGTCTCAGTGTGTGGTCCCAGACCACCAAAAGCCAATTATCACCTAGCAGCTTATTAGAAATGCAAATTCTGGAACTTCACCATAAAGAATCAAACTTCTAGGAGTGGAACCCTGCAACCTGTTTAACAAATCTTCCTGGTAGTTCTGATGAATACTAAAATTTAAGAATAGTAACCTACCAGTTTTTTTTTTTTTTATTCAAAAACTTTCTCCTGGGGTGGGACAGAGTAGAGTAAAATTTAAAATGGGAAAAGCAAAGTATACAGAGCCCCAAAACAGGATTAATGTGGAAGGTACCTGAGGAAGGTCACTGCCATATTCAAACAAATTGGCATTAACACTGACTATCTACCACTGACTGCTTCTACAGTCTTCAGTCTGCTGGTCAGCTGCACAAATAGCTGGCCTTTCTGGGCCCTAAGGCATCAGGAATTTAAGCATTCCTTAAGAGGCCTGTTCTCACTCCCCTTCAATCTATACTACTGACCTTAGTGATCTCATTCCCAACATTTTCTCCCTCTGCCTTAATCTTAATTTATCTAATCTTAAAAGGATATTTTCCAATCCTCTAATTTCCAAGCCACTTGCCTCAGCTTTAAATCCAAAGATCCTATGGTCTTCGCAGACACTTTATACACTGTATTTCTCAGTTCATCCTTTCAACATACAAGGTCCTCGAAGGTCAGAGGTCCTTTCCTCATAATTCCTTTACCTAGAAAGCACTGTCCACTTTAAAAAAAATTCATCTATTTAGACTCAATTCAAAGATCACCCATCTCACATTACTGAGTGATCAAAGATAAACTCATGCCATTTGCAGCAACACGGATGGAGCTAGACAGGATAATGGTAAGTGAAGTAAGTCGGAAGTAGAAAGATAAATACCAGATGGTGGCCCTCCCTGGTGGCTCAGCGGGTTAAAGCACAGCACTAAGAAGCTTAAGCCACTTCCACATGAGTTCAATTCCCGCCTGCCCCGGAGATCCACATGGCGAGGCAGACCTCTCCTGACCCGCCCGCTGCTCCCCTCAGCAGTGTACTTTGTTGATCTGCCTGTTCTGCTGCCCACTCTGTCTCTGGTGAAGCCTCTTGCCGCCACTGAGCCTCGCCGCCACTGAGCCTCTGGCCTGTACCCCAGTTCTATATGCACAAATTAATAAATAAATCTTTAAAAAAAAAATACCAGATGGTGTCACTAACATGTGTAATATAGAGTAACTAAACTAAGCCTCGGATAAAAACCAATTCAAAAATTAACCCTTGAAAGAGGACCATACAACTGTAATATCCAAAGGGGCAAGTGGGTTGGGGAAGGGGTAAGAACAAAGAGAAGGAAGCAAGGACTATGGATAAGTTCTTTAAAAATAAACTTTTTAAAAAATTTAAAAAATAACCTCCTGACAGCTTCAAGAAACTTTTCCTAGACTGCCTCCTTTTCCTTACCTTCCTTTGCAGAGACTTATATTCTTTTTGCACCTAACTAGATCTTTTACAGATGTGGCACATTTAACAGTGGAGTCATAAGCACATGAGCTTTTCTTATTTGTATTCAAACACATAAACTTAGCAAACACCTCTGTAATCATTAAGAAACTATGGCCATCATATAATCCAATCACTGTTAAAACAGGAGCCATTATGCTTCTCCTATTGTGAAGATTCCATTATGTCAGAGTCTAGTCTTTAAATACACACATTATTTTATACAAGTAGAGCAGGAATTTTGTTTCCCAAGGTTCATTTGGCAATGTCTGGAGACATTTTTGTTATCACAGCTGGAAGGATGGGGTAGTTTCTAATGGGTGAGGGAAGGGAAACTATTAAATTTTCAACTATGACCTGGGAAGCCCCCTACAACAAAGATTCAGCCCAGAATGTCAATAGTCTTAAGTTCAGAAACTTTGAGTCAGTGATCTTTAAAGAACTGGATCATGTTATCACCTTGATTAAACTTCTCCATTAGCTTTTCACTACAACCAGAATAAAATTCAAACTCCCAGTCATGTATTTAAGCCTTATATAATCTTGACTCCTGCCTACATCTATCTTACCCCTTTTTACCTTCCTGCTCTATCACTAAATTCTCATCAAAGTGGCCTTCTGCCCAAACATACCAAATTTATGCCCAAACACAAAGATTCTCAGGCTCTTTGCTTGTTATGGCTTCTACTAGGTATTTTCTCTCCTATATGTATCAACTCAAATGGTATCTATGTCTTCAGAGACAGAGGTATTCCCTGAATGTTGTAGGGTTAGTAGCCACCATTGTTACCAATACATCAACAGTTATATACACTCCTTATGCAGCTTAGTTTACTTTATAACACTTTATGACTCATCTGAAAGCTTCATGTGTTTATGGTTTGTATCCACCACTAGAATGTAAATTCATGAACAGAATAGGTCTAAACTCTACTAATGTTCAATAAATAAATAAATGATTAAATTAGAAAGCCTCCAGGCCCATGCTACAATTTGACCTGGTAGTCAACTAAATAGATTTTTGTTTCCAATGCTGGAGGGAAAACTAGCTCTGATAGACATGTTGAAAGAACCTTTTGAGAGGAAGACATGTTAAAAGACAAAATAGTACTATCCTTAGGGATTTTCAGATACAGTGTTTTGAAATACAATTTGTTCCGTAACACCTGCTGACTATAAAATATACATAGCTATCGTGTTGATCTTATATCAGTCTTCCATTAAACTATAAACATTTTAAGAGCAGAAACCATCTCAGAATCTTAGGCATTTAGCATATAGCTAGGCATTTAGACTTTTATGTCCTAGTACCACTATTCTACTAATTTGGAAATTTTTGTGTCACTTGTTACTATGTAGATTCTGACTCCTGATTAAACTGATAGATAATATGAACCATAGTAACCAAACCCTTTAGAGTGTACCTTCCTATTCTAGCTATAAAACACCACTTATCTACTTAATTACTTAATTTGCTATAGCTAGAAATTACTTCTTGCTATCCATGTTCACTACTGTTACCTACCTAACACCTGCATTATCTCATCTGAATCATGACGACAGCACCCTAAGTGGTTTTTCCATTACCAAAACATTCTGCATATACCTGCAACTTCAATCTGTTTGTTACTGAGCAAAATCCAAAGTACTATGTAGTCAATAATAGCTAACATTTATTAAGTGCATTAAGTGCTTAACTAGGTACTGTGTTAAGCATTTAATAAATGTTCCTGTTTTTTACATTCTCTGAAGATTAAAATAAATTTTGGTAATAGCCTTGAAATATAATTCACCCATATGAAGTTACAATTCAACAGTTTTCAATATATTAATAGAGTTGTACCAGCACCAAAATTTTAAAACATTCACATCATTCCAAAAATAGACCCCAATACCCTTTAGCCATCATGCCTAATGTCCTCAATCTCCTCATGTCTATGCTGCCACTAATCTATTTTCTGTTTCCATAGAATTACCTACTCTGACATTTCATACAATATGTGGTCTTGTGTGATTGGCTTCTTCAATTTAACATGAACATGAATGACCACATTTACAAGGTTCACCTACACTTTAGCATGAAGTAGTGTTTCCTTCTTTTTTTGTGGCCAAGTATTTCATTGTATAGATATAGTTTGTTTAACCCATTCAGATTGATGGGTATTTTGGTTATTATATTTATGCTATCAATGTTTGTGCACGTTTTCATTTCTCATGGGTATATCTATAGGAGCAGAGTTGCTATTGATGGTGTCTTCTGAAGCACAAATTAAAAAAAAAATTTTAGAAGATTTATTTATTTATGTATACAGAACTGGGGTACAGGCCAGAGGTGCAGGGCCTGTGAGAGGATTCACAGACACAGTGGGGAGTGAACAGGCAGATTGACAAAGTACACTATTAAGGGATGTAGACAGCGAGACAGGAGAGGTCTGCCACACCATGTGGGTTACCTCCCTGGCCAGGGATCAAACTCGCGCTGAAGCGGCTGGGGCGAGAACGAGATTCACAGTGCTGTGCTTTAACCCACTGCGCCACCAAGGAGGGCCCCACATTTAAAAATTTAATAGATTCTAATTTATCTATTTTGGTTGATTGTGCTTTTAGTGTCCTATCTAAGAAGCAAATGCCAATTAATTTGTTTTGGCACACATCAAAAATCAACTGACCATAAAGGATTTATTTCTTGATTCTCAATTCTTTTTTTTTTTTTTAAGATTTATTTATTTGTGCATATAGAACTGGGGTACAGGCCAGAGGCTCAGGGGCGGTGAGAGGCTTCACCAGAGACAGAGTGGGGAGCAGAACAGGCAGATGATGAAGTACACTGCTGAGGGGAGCAGCGGGCGGGTCAGGAGAGGTCTGACACACCATGTGGTCACCTCGGGGGCAGGCGGGAATCGAACTCATGCGGAAGCGGCTTTAGATTCTCAGTGCTGTGCTTTAAGCCGCTGCGCCACCAGGGAGGGCCCTCAATTCTCTTTTTACTGATCTGTATGTCTGTGCCAGTGCCAGTGCCACTAACAGTAACTCTATTGGTTACTACTGCTTTGTACCAAGTTTTGCAGTAAATTTTGAAATTGGGATGCATGAGCCCTCTAACTCTGCAAACATTCTCATTTAACTCTTAGGGTAACTCTGGGTACAGGTATTATTCCCTCTCATTTGAGAAGTTTAGAGGAAATCTGAGTTTAGTTTACCCAAAGTCACAAAATAGCTTCTTAGATTTATATAGGTCTAAAGCTGATTAATAGGCTATGTTACCCCTATTAGACTTAATTTATACTAATCCCCCAATATACACCAAAATATGTCTGATTTTCTGACTCCTTATTTCTGTTGTTCCTCCATCTGAAATGCCCTGCCTTCCATCTGTTTCATGAAATTTGGATTCATAAAACCATCATTATTACTTAGAAAAGTATTCTCTCTTTTCACTCTAATTCCTAAGCACTGTAAGTCTCTCCCATGCTTCTTATTCCACATTACACCTTAAAATAAAGGTATCTGTGGCCCTCCCAGCGGGTTAAAGCACAGCACTAAGAAACTAAAGCTACTACAGCATGAGTTCAATCCCTGCCTGCCCAGGAGGTGACCACATGGCGTGGCAGACCTCTCCTGACCCGCCAGCTGCTCCTCTCAGTAGTGTACTTCAATGATCTGCCTGTTCTGCTCCCCACTCTGTCTGTGGTGACGCCTCTCACCACCCCTGCACCTCTGGCCTGTACCCCAGTTCTGTATGCATAAATAAATAAATCTTTAAAAAAAATAATAAAGGTATCTGTGTACATGTATTATTTTCCATCATAAGGACTGAATCTCATTCATCTTTGTATATACCCAGAGACATAACAACAGCACCTTTCACATGGAAGATGCTAAATGTTTTGGATGAATAAATGAATTCTAACATTACACCACCACAATGAGCAATAAAAATGTATGTGTGTGTTAGGATGATGAGGATAGGATAGAGGAGATGGGAGGTGATGGCTAGGTTATAGGAATAAACACCTAGTCTTTTTTTTTTTAAGTCAAATTTTATTTACTATTTGTTTACAAACTATATAATTTTCAGAAGTATAGCTTTACACTTTGAGATGTGCGAAGGGGCCATTCTCTTACTACCCAAGTTCTGATGCCATTACACTATCACATTTAGCCCCTTCCACTCTCTCCTCCCTCCCCACCTCTAACAACCACCATTTTTCAGTTATTTTTGTTGTTTTTATAATCTATTTTCTTTATTTGTATCACTCACTTCACTAATAAGTAAAACCATTAGTAACTGTCTTTCACTTTCTGATTGATGTCACTTGGCATAATCACCTCAAGTTCCATTCATATTATCACAGAAGGTACAATTTTATCTTTTAAGTAGTTCAGTGACAGAATACCCAAATCTTCAGAGTGAAAAAACAAGGCTAGTATGATAGGGTGTGTGGCAGATCCAAACAGAGAAGATATAGCCACTCTGTTGGCAAAATAGAAACCTCCAATCTTAATGCCTTGTGTGTAAACAAGTAATAATCCTCAGTGACTAGGAAATAAGTTAAAGCAAATGACTTAATAAGCCCTAAAATGAGTTTATTGTGCTTTAGAACAGGTGATAACAAATAACTCCAGTATATTCAAGTAAAGTCTGATATGCCCTGGACATCTAAAATATAACACCTGAGCAAAAAGCTATTCTGGAGTCAGAATTCCCCAAGAGAAAATAGGAAAATGAGACATTTAACTTTAAAAAGTCGGGAAACATAACTGTGTGTCAATTCTGACAGCCTCCCTTGTGTTCCCAACAACTTCTCTAAATTGCCCATTCGCGTACCACTTTTAAGTCATTAAGACTTATTGATGGATAAGAAGGAAGTCTTTTTCGGAAGGCTAAGATGTCATTCTTCTCATTACCATCAGTTTCAAGTTAAACTTTTGAGTGTAACTTTCTCACAAAGGATAGTTAGGAACTGTAGCCTCTGAAAAGATCTGAATAGGCAGGCCTCTTGCCACACCCTAATTCTACAATCCTATCACTAGAAACGTATGGTTAACCTTTTAGAAAAGAGTCACACAATATAAATGCTCCTGTTTAGCTTAGAATCTTCAGCTAGCCAAGTGGGTTAGAATACAGTGGGTTTCAGAGTTGGCAACAATCTAGTATAAGCAGGGTAATTTTATCACACCTTCCCCATTTTCTAACATTAATCAGGGTCTGGCTCAGCTATTTAAACCCCACCATCTACTTGCTCTTCCAACTGCTTCTTATCCAGCTGGGAGGAGCTTCCAAGAAACATGATGTAGTAGGCACTGCTGTATACGGGCTGCTTGTTGGGGTTGGAATAGACCTGTTCAGGTTTGAGAGATGCAAAAGGGTTAGCTCCACAGGTAGTGATGTGTATATCCAGGTCCAGCAGAATCTGTATAGAGGCCTCCAACTCCTGATGACTGTGGGAAACAGATAAAAATTGCTCTGCTGGTTATGGGAAAGATGGGAGAGCATTTGTTCAGAAATGGACATTTCTGGATTCATTAACCCCACAATTACCTAAGATTAAATGAGGAAAGGGCTAATCCTTCTATGCAAATGTCTCACTAACTACCCAACTAACATAAGCCTTTGTTTCAAGATGATAAGAAAGTCAAATGGCCAAGAAGAAAATCTTCACCAGAAGGTAGAAAAGCAACAAATGGGTAGAGAAATGAAGTCATATATATATAAAGAGAAATTTAAGTTAGGGAGGCGTCACAAATAGGAGGAGGTCAAACCTGTAAACAGTAATCAATGTAGGGAGCTCATAATCACGAAGCAGCAGGAGGGTGGGAAGCCAAGCCTCTATTAAGTCCAGGGAAGCATGGAAACCTATGGAACAAAATAGAAGTGGGAATTGGAAGGGGAAAGGCTGAAGTAGAACCTAAGCAAGCACTGTTTTGATTTTTCCCACCCCTCACCTTGCTCACCCCCAGTGTTAATTTATCAGCATGATTCTCCAGGTTCTTCAAGTGTAGCACATATTGATAATGAACAAGCAAGTTAACTGTCATGTTGTATCAATCTGATCAAATGAATGGGATTCCAAAGACAGAATATTCAAGAGTCAGGATGGAAAATTCCCAAAGGAGCCACCCAATATTCTCCTGAACTCTTACCTGGATGGAATGCCACCACCAAGTCTGGATGGGGTGTCTGTCCAGTCTCTACCTGTTCCTCCCAGAAGTCATGATAGAGTCCTCTATGGCCAATAAGCTGAACTCTGCCAGGTTCCAGGGGTGATGTGAAGGTGCTCTGTGAAAAGCCAGCAGCCACATCTACACCTACCATAATCACACGTAGGCCATGGTGTCCAGGAAACATGTAGCCAAATTCATCATAGTCCCCAGGGCGAGTGAGAAATGTCTCCACATGGGAAGCACCAACCACATGCACTGTGCTTCCCCCAATATTCCCAACATCTACCCTGAAGGCCCGAATCCCTAAGCCCAGTGTCAAGGGTCGTGATAGGGTATCTGTCAGTAGCCGCTTCAAAGAGCCCTGGAGGACAACTGGGTCTGGCCTTGGCCGTTCTACACTGGCCCACAGGTTAGTCATGGCATGACTACTGAGCACAGCATCCAGGGTAGCATCTAGTTGTAAACACCGCATAGAAAACCAGGTGTCCCAGTCTTGTACAGCTTCAGCCAGACATGGCCAAGGTCCTGAGGGTAGGGTGAAATCACCTGTAGGAAAGAAGCAGTAAGAAATAACCTAATTCTTCCCTGGCTCCAATATCCCTCCATGTTCACTCCTCTAATTTATGACCAAGAGGGCCTGATTCCATTTATCCCATCCAGTTTATTTCCTCATTAAACAAACAAACAAACAAAACATGCTTTCATGTCTTTTCCCAAGCACAATCAACTATGATCATCATAGCAAAGTTTCCCAACACCACCACACCACTTCACCTGTGACCAGAAGCCATTCCAAAAGACGGTCCACAGCTACGAGACTCAGCTCTTGACAAACCCTCCTATGTGCTGGCCAGTCTGACTTCTGGCACTCTGGCCCACAGTAATAGACATTTCTGCATCTAAGAGAATGAGCCCCATAAACGGATGTTTCTATAGCTCAAAGGTGATTGGGAGATATCTGGCAAAGGGAATACATACTCCTGCACCCAGAATTCCCTGTTGTTCCTCCATCTGAAATGCCCTGCCTTCCATCTGTTTCATAAAACCTAACACAAAACATAAGAGGATCCAATTCTATTCTAATCCTTCTGTGCCCCGGGTCACATAAAATGAGGAGTGGGTCTTAAGTTATTCTGAAAAACCTCAAGCCTTTCTTCCTGCAATGAAGTCCTAAAACAGGATTATTTCTGGTGTGTCCCCTACTAGCCCATTAGTCACCTCTTGCAATGGCGTAGGATCTTGGAGTCTGAAAGGTCACTAGGGAGTGCTCTACAGTAAGCACAGAATCGGAATGTGTCCTCCATTTTCTGGAACATTTCTTGAGGACATTGAAATCCAAAACCTGATACAGGAATACCTCCATCTACTACCAACCTGTAAAGACATCACAGAATTGGACTGGTACACACATTACCTGTAAAATCTCTCATGACCCCCTACCTTTCTTCTTACGTATTTCCACTTACTCCACTCCTACATCTCCTACTCCCACACTTTCTCACTTAGGCAAATTATTTTTTATAGTAATAAAATTGGCAAGTCAGGGAAATTCCTCACTGAAAATCACCCATGTTCCCCAAATTAGATTCCCTCTCCTCTTTCTGAAATCACTATCAGAGACAATAATATATGACCCTTCCACACAGCAAGTCACTTACTTGTATTCTTCATAGCTTTTCATGTTCAGCTTTTCAAGGATCAATTGGGATAGGCCAGGAACATTACTCTCCAAGGAGAAGAAGCCAAGTGCATCAATGCTAGGGCCAGGTTTTGAGAGGGTCTGAGGCACAGGGGTCACAGCCATGGGTGAGGTCACAACTGTGGACAGGGTTGCAACCATGGGAGCCACCAATGATAGGGGTTTCTTGTGCCTTCGTCGACGGGACCTTGGAGCCATGGCTTGTCCACTGATACCTAGAAACTATAAGTTAAGTCGATATAGAATGGAATTGTGCAAGCTGGACATACACATATTTGACTTTTCACTTATTCTATCAGACCCAGGTTTCAGTTAGATCTATTCAGTATCTAGTGGTAACTGATCACAAGCAGCTGTGAAAAATAAAACACCTTATGTGTCACCTCCCTGGCAGCTAGCTTCATAGTGCTGAGACTTAATCTCTTGTGCCAACAAGTAGGCCTGTAATGGTTGATTTTTCAAAGAATATTCATCTATTAATATATATTTAAAACCAAGTTTGAAGAAAAAGCAACAGAAGTTTTAGTAGTCAAAAATTGTTATTTAGGGCCATCCTGGCAGCTCAAAGGTTAAAGTCTCAGCACTACCAAGCTGTCACCAGCCATTGGAGTGTGAGTCCAATGCCCAGCCAGGGAGCAGACCCATGGAGCAGCAGACTTCTCCTGTCTGCCTGTTGCTCCCTTCAGCAGTGTATTTCAGGAGATCCACCTATTCTGTTCCCCATTCTGTCTCTGGTGAATTCTCTCGCCCGCTGTACCTCTGGCCTGTACCTCAGTTCTTGTATGCATAAATACATATCTAAAAAGAAATTGTCATATAATTGGAAAATTAGATAATTCTCTAAACTGGCTGGCAAACTAACACATTCATTTTAAAAGACCAATCTTCACATTCATATGCAATACCAAGAAGCAGAAATTAAAGCAACATAAAATGAGCTCCACAATACTAACAGTTATGTAGTTAAAGCAGTTTTGCAAATTATGATGAAAATTTCCTGAGATGAATTTTGAAGAACTAAGCCCATATCAACACCACTACCTGGTGAAATCTGTGATGTTTTCCTTCCCACTTACCTTCTCTTATTCCTTCCACAAAGGCTGAATAAAGAAAAGGGAATGTACTGGGAAAAATAAAAACATCTATTCATTCAATAAATATTTACTGATAACAAAATAATTTGCACAATATACTAAAAATAAAAATATACATAATATTTAAATGTCTTATGGAAGGATTAGATATAAAAAGTATATATATATTCATTTTTATTCATATATTCATTTTACTCACATGTATATATATGGCAGTATTTAAATTCTGTATGAAAATGAAACTGAGCAGAGTAGGAATCTATTCAGTTGGTCAGTACTATGAAGCAAGTAGAAGTCATTATAGGCAGTGAAAGATGGAAACACTCTGAATATACAGATAGGGGAACAGTAATTCCAAGTACAGAGAAGAACATGAACAAAGAGGTTAATGTGGAGATATTATAGGAATTAAAAAACAGAATGGTTTAAGTTTGATTGCTATTTCTAAAGACCTAAACATAAGAAATTATGTTTAGGCATAAATATCTTAGAACACAAAAAGGGAAAGCTTCATGAATTTGGAACTGGCTGTCACTTCTGGACTATAACTCCACAAGCACAGGAAACAAGAGGAAAAATAGATGAACTGAACAACATCAAAATTAAAAGCTTTTCTATATTAAAGGAAAGAGCAACATGGAAACCCATAGAATGTGAGAACATATTTGCAAGTCATACATATATGATAAGAGATTAATATACTAAATATATGAAAACTACAACTCAAAAACTATAAGCCCAACTGAACACAGGCAAAGGACATGGATAGGCATTTCTCCAAAGAAAATATACAAATTGCCAATAAGCACAGGGGGAAAAATGCTCAATATAACTGGGAAAATGTAAATTGAAATTACCAGATACTACTTCACATCTACTAAGATAGCTATTATTAACAATGACAACAGCAAACACACAAACAACAGAAAATAATTAGAGTTGGCCAGGACTCTAGAGTGGGGGATTTGAAACCTCTGTGCATTGATGGTGGAAATGTAAAATGATGCAGTTGCTATGGAAAAAAGTATGGGAGATCTGCAAAAAAGTTAAGAAGAATTACTATATGATCCAGCAATTTCACTCTCATATACCCCAAATAATTGAAAACAAATACTCAAGTGTTTATACACCAATGTTCATAGTAGGACAGCCAAAAGGTACAATGAACCCAAAAGTCCACCAACAGACAAGTGAGTAAACAAACTGGTATGTAGGGATAAACATATGAACATTTATATTCCTATGTGACTATATTTCAGCCATAAAAACAAATGAAGTATTTGTATATGCTACAACATAGATGAATCTCAAAAAACATGTTAAGTGAAAGAAGTCAGACTAAAAAGATCACATTATACGATTCTACTTATATGAGAAATGAAAATTGGTAAATTCAGAAAGACAGAAAGCAAATTTGTGGATACCAGGGGCTGGGTGGAATGGATAGTAAATCTAATAGTTACAGGGTTTACTTTTTCAGGTGATGAAATGTTTTGGAACTAGATAGAGGTGGTGGTTGTGTAACAGAAGCATCACCATAAATGGGGTAGGGAACATGGTACCATCCCTTTTATGGAGATGCCTCTGTTACAATTGCAAAATACTCAGTGTACTAAATGCCATTTAATTGCTCATTTGAAAGGGATTAATTTTATATTGTGTGAATTTCATCTCAAGTTTTAAAAAAAAGGCGTTCATACAGACTGGAACCTAGAAAACTATTAATCCTCAGATTAACTGCTTCCAAAGTGAGGTAAATGACAAAGGATAAAAATGTTGACAGTGGTTGGTTTTACTGTGAATGAGGTTACTAGTAAAGTTCAAATTGGGGATCATGTTTTGTTATAAAAATGATCTGACATTTAATCCATCTGGATCAGATGTTAGGAAAAACCCTCCAGAATCACCATTCAGCTGAGGTGTAGATGGCAGAGCAAACAGAAAAAAACTTCCTAGAATCGTTAATATTTATCACTATAAGATGTTGCTCTTGAAAACTCATCCTCAAGTTAATGGAAGAACTAATTTGAATTTTACCTTGTACTTTTTCCTTATCCTTTCAATTTCCTCCTTTAATTTCTCCCCTCATTCCACACATGAATGAGTCCATAGATCAGAGACAGCTAGTTACTTACATACCATATCTTCTACATTCCTACCAATAAAGAAGAAATTAGACCTATAGATAGATTACGTTAGGGCTTAAAGACCGTATCTCATTTCCAACAACTGATCTGACTCCCCTCCCCTTGTAATCACCACACATTCACCACATATACACAATCATTGTTGTGCTTGAAAAAACTGTTCTATCTACTCATCCCCTCAGGCAAAATAGCACTTTAAACCTTGAAATGACTCATCTTTTCCTTATAGGTATTGAGAAAAAGTATCTTAGAGACAACTCAAGTCTTCAATTCCAGAAGTATTAGTATCTTCCAGATTTCCAAACCCAAAGTCTTTGTGCTGTAAAGAAAGCCAAGACAGAAAGGTAATACCTCACTGACCTGAATTTCTAAAGAAAGGACTACCAACAAGAGATTAACTCTTGAGAGTTGGTTGAACTGGCTGGAAATCAAAGAATCAGTTTGGATAGAAGTAGTGTTAGTAAAATCTCTAAGTTTTCTTATATATTTATAGTGTTATGATACAAGTGAACTAATTTTTTTTAGCAGGAAGATAAGAAGGTGGGATGAAGAGCCAAGTCTTTGTATCCACATCTACATATATCATGAGACTCATGTTCAAATTTCTGTACTCTTAAGCCCAGACTCAAGTTTCCTGGAATGAACTTTCTGGCAATGAGTTTAGGATCTTCAAACTTCAGGTGGGGAAACTGAAACAAAGGCAAAAAACAGAGGGGCTGAGGAAGAATCTGGAATGAATCATAGTTTTCAGAAATTCTCAGACTTGAGTTTACCTCACTTAGAAAGGAAATCACTTTAACATGTTTCTAGCTACCCCTAGTCACTTAGGCTCAAATTCATTTCCAGTATATAAGAGAACACCAATACCAAGGACTGGAGAGAAGAGTGAACTAGATGGCCAAGAAAAACCATTCACCTCCAAATTTCCCCAAAGTAGCAATTCCAAGACCTAGACCTCTCTCTCCCTACCACTAAAAGCCCTAGGTTTTAATTAAACTCACTATTTCCTCACCACCAAGACCCATCTAATTTTCTCTAATTCATCAGCAAACACAAGACATCTTTGATGGAGCTGGGAAGGGAGAACGAAGCTACTAGTCACTGGGGATCTTCAAAATGAGTTGGGAAAGAGAAAGGAAAAGGAGAAAAACATTTAAGATTGCTAATATAACCACATTCAGATTGTTTCATCAGTGGTTAACACTCCCTGGGGTGATAAGTGCTTTACTCAACTATAATAAAGAAAGCAGACGGGTTGATGGAAAAGTAACTTACCCTGCTAAGCCCTCGGCTTTCCTTCCTTCTCTCTTTCTTCCAAGTGAAGTGAGTGCTTGATCTCCTCAGATCTAGGCTGTAGCTGACTTGCAGCTGTTCCTTCATATCACTTTCCTTTGCAAACTGCTGAAATGACGGGTGACTTGTAATTACATGGGCTCTGCCAACCAGACAGACAACACTGAATTCTCCCTAGCAAGGCAAGTAGGAGCCTGATTCCTTGCCCATGGATTTCTCATCCTGACCTTCCTTCTCTGCCAAGAAGACTCAGACCTCTGTCAACACTCCCAAACCCATCAATGTCCAAGAAGAGAGTAGGAAAAGATGAAGCCTTCTTGGATCTCTCTCTCTAAGGCAGTATTTCTGCTCTACTCACAAATTCAGAAAACAACCTTTAAGTTTAGTTCAGAAGCCAATGTATGGTTAGAAAGGTTAGGGTAGTTAGTAGATAGAGGAATAGAGAACCCTGGAGTTCTGGATGGCAATATAGACTCAAAATGCGTTCCCTTAGGGCTTTTTAGCACAACAAATACTGCAAAAACACAACTCAATCAATAATGAACAATCTAGGGAACAGAAATGGCCACTCACTGGTACAGATGGAAATCAACTGTAGATGAAACATCAGGATAAATCTATAAAATTAACTTTCACCAAAAGGAGAGTCAGGCATTTCCAAGTATCCAAGGGCACTCCACCTATTTTTTTTTTTTTAAAGGTATCATCAGGTGCCCTCCCTGGTGGCGCAATGGGTTAGGACACAACATTGCAAGCTGGCCGCAGCTGCTGCAGTGTTGAGTTCGGTCCCCAGCCTGGAGGTGATCCACATGGCACAGCAGGCTTCTCCTCTCTCACCTGCTGCTCCCCTCAGCTGTGTACTTCGCCGATGAGCCTGTTCTGCTCCCCATTCTGTCTCTGGTGAATCCTGTCACCACCCCTGCATCTGTCTTGTACCCCAGTTCTGTATGCATAAATAAATCTAAAAAAAATTTTTTCAGATTATCTCTTTTAAAAAAAGTATCATCAGGGGCTTCAGTGGTGGCACAAGGTGTTAAGTGTCAGCACCATGAAGCTGTAGGCAGCCAGTGCAGCAATGAGTCTGATACCGTCAGGGAGCTAACCCACGTGGCACAGCAGAACTCTCCTGTCTTGCCTGCTACTCCTTCTCAGCAGTGTATTTCAGTAGATCTGCCTATTATGCTCCCACTCTGTCTATGGTACATCCTCTCACACTCCCACGCCTCTAGCCTACATCCCAGCTCCTGTGTATATAAATAAATCAATCTTTAAAAAATAAAGTATCATCAGGACCATCCCAGCTGTGTATCAGAATTAAATATTTCTGGAATATTAAAGTAAGGAAGACCAACTATTAATGTTTAAGATTAAGCTTATATTGGTCATCATTGTGTTCAAGCAGTATTTGTTATGCTAAAAAGGCCTTTGTGCTTAAGGGAATCCATTTTGGGTCCGTATTGACATCCACTACTTTTCCTGTTATTCTGATCTACTAGAACAAAAAAATAGTAAGAATCCATTCAAACATCTTTTCCTTTCCTGCTGTAATGGTTGATTAAGGGAATTTAATTCCACAATCCTAGCTCTTTTCCACATAAAGTTGTCATGCTCCAAAACCTGTCAGAAATTGTGCAGGTGCTAGCTGGTCCTATATGACTCCAACATCCTGACTTTATGCTTGACCTGCCCCGAACTATTTGTACTTACCTGCCTCCAAAAATCACCAAACTGAGGTTCTGGAGCATAGCAAATCAAAATCTGTATATGAATAATACATAGAATGGATTCCAAAGAAACCCCAAACAATAGAGAACACAAACTACAAGGGGAAGTGGAAGAAAAATGTTACAGACATAACAAAATATTACTTAACATTGTATACAATATCTGTGGACAAAGTTGATAAGAAACATGAATAAAATGAGAGTAATTCATTATAAACAAAGGCTTCAGGCCAATTTGAAATTTAACTGGCAGAACCTTTAAAAGTATGAACTCTTTATAATGGTTGGGCTGGGGAAGTGAAGAAATTAGGCTGTCTTTTCTAACTCAGAAAGTATCATCTTTGAATATAAAGAGAGACATTTATAGGGAAAAGTTGACATTAAATACTAATTTGTATTTTGCCATGACTACTTGCACTGATATAAACTTGAAATTTTAATTTAGAAACATCTTAACTTTTCACAATTTGTATTCATCATGAATTTGATTTAAAAAAAAAATCTTTCAAAATACTTGTTCACTTGATACTAGTTACGAAGGAAAATTAAGAGGAGGTTCCTATTCAGCAAGAGGTCTGTGGAACACAGGGTGATATTCTACCACTCTTCCTATATACCACTTTTTTAAAAGATTTATTTATGCATACAAGAACTGGGGTACAGGCCAAAGGTGCCAGGGGTGAGAGGATTCACCAGAGGCAGAGTGCAGAGCAGGACAGGCAGATCCTCTGGAAATATACTACTGAGGGGGGCAGCAGGAGAGACAGGAAAGGTCTGCTGCACCATGTGGGTCACCTTCCATATGGCTGCAGCAGACAGCTTTATGTGCTGCACTTTAACCCCTTGTGCACCAGAGAGGTCCCTATATACTACTTTTTTGAGATAGTTTCTTCCTCTTACTTTTATCATCAACTCATAATTCTAGTAATTATGCATCTTTACCCATGACTCTACAAACACTATATAACCCTTGTGATAGACCTAAGAGCTCAAGGATTTCCTGGCATCTGAGATACTAAACTCTTAGTTTAGAAATAGAGCCTCATAGAACAATAATACCAAGAAGACTCTTTAAAGTATACAATACATAATAAACTTAAGAGACAGCTCATGGACTTGCATGCAACTTACTTGCAAGTATAGCAAGTAAAAGCTGTAATATTTAATAACTTGGACATTATTTGCTACCTGGAATTAAACAAATAAAAGACATTTCTATTAAATTGAAAGCAGGGATTAAAGTCTCAGCTATACCAAGCAATTGTCAGCCACTGCAACATGAATTTGATCATTGGCCAGGGAGCTAACCACGTGGTGCAGCAGACCGTTCCTGTCTCTCCTGCTGCTCCACTCACAGTGTACTTCAGTGGATCTGCCTGTTCTGCTCCCCAGTGTGTCGCTGGCAAATCCTCTCACCCATCTGCCTGCACCTCTAGCTTATACCTCAGTTCTTCTATGCATAAATGAATAAATAAATCTTTAAAATGAATGCTCTATAGTATATATCACTAATTATTGTTGAAAACTGTACTTAAAGTTACTATATGAACATATTATTATAAATAATGAACAACATTCTAATTTTCCTCAATTTGCAAAGATCTATACTTATTTTGGTGATGGTAACAAAGAAGGGACTATGATGGCAGAGAAATGCAGTATCACTAATATCTTTTTTCTTATTGTTAAAACATCCAACAAATTTCCAATACTGCTATGACAAAGTTCTAGACAATAACATTTCCTTTCAATTAAAAGTGAAAGAGGGATTTTAAATATTAAGACTTAGGAGGTCTATAATAGACATCCAAAGCATTCTAGTGCTCAGTTACCAATGCTCATGTAAAACAAGTGTAGCCAGTTTTTTTTTTAATTTACAAAGATAAGAATTTAATTCATCATATCACCATAAACTATCCATGAGATACAGTATTTTTTTTCTGTCTTCCATCAGGTCAAATCAGACTACATATTCCAAATAAAACCCAACACAGAGGTAAGAGCAGCGGCCCATGCATGGAATTTATTGTGTGCTATTGTTTATAAAATACTTGGATAGTCCTGCACATGCATAATATTTCCAACTCAGACAGGAGACCATACAGGGTGCACTTTCTGGCAAACAAAACAATAGATGGTTCCGCTGCCTGGAGCTCTGAGTTGTATTCCAGGGCATAAGGGAAGCAGGCCACCAAAGCAAAAAGAAATACCAAACTACAGTGGCAATCAATACAGATCAATAGTTGTGAAAAGTCAGCACATGGTTCCATTTAGTTTAACCAAGCAGTTCTGTAACTATCAAAAGAAAATGTTCAACATGCAGTCTTGACTTTTATGCTTCCACTAACATCTGAATGATTGAACAGACCATTGCTTCTATACTGCATTGCTTAATCAAAAACACTTTCAGAACATTTTTAAAATTTCCTTTGCATCAAAACATAAAAATGATAGAAAGCCATCAGCAAATCACCCTGGTGGCTTTTTAAGTAACTTGAGTACTCACAATAAACTAAATTTTTTCATAACATCTAGGTAACCTATACATGTCGTACCTGTACATCATAGGTCTATATATTAAATATTTGCAAAATGAAAACATGCATACACAAAATACATCAAGTTTTACAGACATGATTTGAAAATTTACTTTGACAATGTACAAACTTCTTTTAAAGTACCTTAAATGAGCAATTCTGTAATTCTTCATTATTTTGAAATTTAGAGGTTTTCTTCTTAAATCTCTGGGGTGTAAATCTCAAAAGATCTGGGCAAAAAAGATCCTAAATTAGTTTTTGGATTTGTGTTCAAGTAAGAGAATCTGCCTAGAAATAGGTTCTGCATTCATAACTGAAAACCCAAGACTGTTACAGAATTAGCCACATTTAAGAACTGTAGACCTGAAGTCAGCATTCTGTATAGATGCCAACTGGGTTTCTCAGCATTTTGTCCGTAATTCAAAATACAACTTAGTAACCTTAGAAATGTATTTTAAGACCATGCTAATTCATCCTTTAAAGACATTTCATGAGAAAATAAAAAAGTCCACACTAGCTCTTAGGATTGCATTTGAACTCATGGTTGAAAACAAAATCTAACTCTACTGAGGGAAAAATGAAATCTCTTGTAAACTTAAATGTGTGAACCACAAGCATAAATGGAGGTGTAATTGTCCTCCACTGGAAATTGCCCCAAGCCCCTTGCTCACTGCTGTCCACCTTGGCAGCGATGACTCAATGCTATCAGAAAGCACAACATGTCCCAGGGCCCTCAAGCCACCATCCAGGAAGGGGGCTAGAGTCTCAAAAGCACAATGGTTTCTCCAGAGGGACCGTGACATTTACAGTCAGCTTGACCAACTCCTCCAGTTCCTCAGATGATCTGTCCATTTGGAGCCCAAGAGGTGAGAGTCCCTGGGAAGCTGTGGGTCACTGGGCACTATGGTTGCCAGTCCCGTGGTTCTCAGTGGCATGTGCGGTGTTCAGAGAATTGAAACCATCTTGCTGTACAGCATCTTTCCGGGGTGGCATTCTCTCATTGATCCTATCCAAACCCTTTGCCTCTTCAAAACTGCAGATTCTATGTGGTGGAGAGAATCCTCGTATTGCTTAACAAAATGCAAATTTGATAAGTCAGTAGTTGAAAAACATTTCTGATATTTCAAAAACACAATTAATGATTTTTTTAAGAAGAAATTAGCTGTACGTAGCAACATTTAAATCTTTAACTGAAATCTATCCCAATTCCAGAATTCCCCTTAAAATGTGAAATGTTTAAACCTAAATATGATAGCTTCATAGATACCAAATGTTAGTATTGCCTGTAAAACACATACACACACACACACACACACACACACACAACCCTCCCCTGCCCCCAAAATCAATCTCCAGTCAACATTCTCAGTCTGACTTCTCTATTACATCAATTAACACAAACCCTAAGATCACCAGTGAATTATCATAGTAAGGCAGCAAAACAGGAATATGGGCAAGTGAGGAGGCTAAACAAGGTTAATCCTTGACATACAGAAATGTACGAAGAGTTTGGGAGCAGAAAGAGTTAAAGTTAAGTTGCAATTTAGCGGATCAGAACTATTTTGGAGGTCTCAAAGTATCATCACCCATTACCACCAACATGAAATGAAAAAGGTGGGAAATGCCTCCAGGAGTTAGATCTGTATATGGCTGACAGCAAAAAAGTATTTATAGTTTTATATTTTAGAAGATGTCTTCCTTAATTCACTACCTATTCACTATATGTTCTTTGAAAATCCAAATGAAAATAAATGTAATACTCTTCTAACTGCTTTCTTATTTACTTCATCTGGAATGACACATCTTCCATTCTTAAATATGTATAGAAAAGATTTTTGTATTACTGGTTAATAATCTGGTTGCTTCAATATTTGCAATTCCTGGGAGATAGAGTCCGTTTTAAATTGTTGGGGCAGCAAAGGTTTCAACAGTGTGGAATACCACATCAACACATATGATATATTTATAAATATAACATCATCATCAAACACTAGCCCAAACTGCAGCCAAAAAAATTTTATAGTGATAGCTCCTGTGCTATCTTGTAAATTATTGAGAATGAGTAGAAACAATTGCAAATCTCTTTCATTTGGGAAAAGAGAATCTGAGTAGCAAAGAATCATGCTGTATGCTAAAGAATTTAGGTACAGGAAATGCTGGCTGCATATTATACTACTGAAGGGGGAAAAAACTAGACTTATCACTACGGAAATCAGTCCTTATGATTAAAAAAAAAAAGAAAGAAAGAAAAGAAAAGAAATGTGACAGTTAAACTTGATGAGTCAGTGAGTCTGATTCATCTTGGGCTGTGTAAATTAGGAGTGAGACACACCCACAGGATACTCTCTGATGCCCACCCACACAACACAGATCTCTGCCCAGCGCAAGGACTCTGATCGTACCTTTTTCAGCCTCAATAGCCTCAACTGTGGCTGTACAGAAGTGAGCAGAGGCATGCAAAATGAATGAGAGAGATGAGAAGGGTCATATTGTACAGCAGAAAAGGCAATGATCACTTAAAATATCATAGTACCCACACTACATCATCATTTACAATTTAACATACGTAGTACCCATTATAATAGAGAGCCCCATCCAATCCCCCAATTCTGACACAGCACAGTTTACACACAGCACTATGACAACATTGCTCAGAGCACAAACACAAAGACCTATTATAAACAGAGACACCTCAGCACCCATGCAAATGCACTCCAATATTAATTACTCATCTTGAATTCAGTGTTCTGATGGTCTTGTATTTTTCCAAAATGTTTATATCATATCCATCACAATTACAAGGAAATTCTTTAGAGTGAAATTCTAATGAATTTGTAGAGCAAACAGGTGACTTTTTTTTTGTCTAACTGAAACAATGCTCATTCCCAAGTAATATAAACCAAAAAGGGTCAACAATACTTTTCCCCTTGCTCCTAACTCACATGACAAAGCACAAGCTGCAAAAGTTGACATGTATACAATGAAATTTAAGAGCAATAAACTTAAGTGAGTCACTCTGCAGCTCTGTTTGTCTGAGTACCTAAAAAGACCCCTTCTTGTCCACTAGGAACTTCCAGTACCATTGATGTTTCAAATATCTAAACACACTAACTTCAATAGCCTTAAAAAGATTCATTTATGTTCAGTTTATCATGAACTCAAATCTGTCTCAAGTAGTAATTAACAGCCTTCATTCTCAATTGAAGAAATTTTTTCAAGTCCATTTACCAGAGAGGAATCAAGTGTTAGAATTAAGGTCTTACAGGAAATTAATCCTAAGTATTTGATGATATGGACATATGCATAGATTCTATAAATGAAAAAAAGCATTCCTAGTGTAGCTTAACTTTGACAAATATAAAGAATTTCATCATCTTTTGTCATAAATTTTTGTAGTCAAAGATTGTTTTGGCTCATTTCTGAGTTCAAACTGTATAATCACACTGAGCACCACGATGAGAGATTACAGAGGACAACATTGCCTAACAACATAGCTAGTTCTCTACTTTACCAAGTACACACACTTGTAAAACTTATAACAATAATGCCCCATCCTTTCTATTGTTTCTTCTACAATAGAGCCAATTAGAATAATTACTTATGAAATGATCTTTTATACATGATTTAGAAATGATAAATTTTATCCAAAGCTATTATTAATCTCAAAGAGTACTGATGATTCTAAGGAATTAAAGTTCACTAAATTAGAAAGGATTATTGATCTTAACCAGATAGTAAAGTGAATTAGGGAACCGAAAGAAGTAGGATAAACACTGAATAAAGGAAGAGTTAATTTTCCCATAAAATTACATTACCAACCAAAGCAGACATACTTATTGCATACCCACAAATAACCAATTACACTTAATATACTTGAAAATTTGCCAAGATAGAATTAATCTAAATGGAAAAGTGATATACATGACCCATCACTACTTGATCAGCTCTAGAAAACCCCTGTTCTTCAAAATGTGTACTGTGTCTTTTATAATTGAGAAATGAAATGGGAAAAAAAAAAATCTTAACGAGTTTGTGGTAATAGGAGTGATTTAAGAAGAAATATTTTATAACTTATATAATAACTAATAAAAATTAACATCAATAAAAGAATTAGTGTCTATTTGAGTATATCAATTGATTAGAAGTCTATTAATAAAATTTTCAAATTATATACTTTTGAAATCATTCCACGAGCTCTTAACTTTATGGAAAAGCATTTTCTAGGTCAAGGTTATTCTCTGCTTTTTCCTGAGACTCTAAATGATCCTAATTGTGTTTCAGAATGAAAACAGGTATCACCCTCAAAATTGTGTACCACCTCAAGCTTCAATCCTTATACTTGAAAGAAGATAAATAAGTTACTAATCTGAAAATTAAACAAAAAAACCTATCTGAAAGGTATTATTTTTCCTTGATTTGTTTTCAGTTTTATAGGGCCTCTTGCTATGGCCTCAGTAAGTTTGAGTATTGTGTTATCTCAAACCATGTTCCTCAATACTACAAAGGATGAGAGGTCAAGAAGAATTTAACATTAGTAGAACAGACATGGCCATGTATTTTCCCTGGTGAAGGTAGCTAGCTTCCAATCAAATTTCCATGAAATAATGCTTATCAAATCTTTCTCCAACAGAACTGTGTAGGCTGTAAAAAAAACTTGAGAATTACCATAAATTAACTTTTAAATTACTAAGATGATTTTTATTTTCTGATAATAAGTCTTACAATAAGTCATGATTTAAGAACTTTATTTTTGTAATAACTCAGTTATTCACACTAACATCAGCAGATGTATCTACTAAAATAAAAATGAGATAATTTTTAAAACGTAACATAGAGATGTAGTTTTGTATGCGATTTTGTTCTTTGTTTCAAAATGAGTTTATTTTATCATAGGGAAATCACTTCAATCATATGCTTAAAACTACCAGGAATCATCCTGGCAAAGCTATGGAGTGACTTAGTTTCTCCAATTAAACCCCTTAAGCTCAGCTCAACATCATTCAGCAACTTATTCTATGCTAGAAATAGTCCCTCAGTAAAGCTATCTTTCAAACCTTTCCTGCAATTAAGGGTGATTAGAAGACTTAGTTTCAGGCTGCATACAAGAAATGCTGAGCTGTCAACAAAGTATATAGTTAGCAGGTGCTAATTGTGAAATCTGAAAGAAAGGTTTGTCATAGCTCTAACATGAAAGGAATAATTATCCAAAGATAACTGAGAGATGACTATAGTGTAATTTATTTAAGTATATAAGACCTTTTGATTTTCTTTTTCTCTTCTAAACAAACAGGAGAAACTTATTGAAATTACCCTTAAAACATTTTTGCTAGTTTATTCAATGTTTAGGAGCTTTATTTTAATGTATGTTCATGAAATTCTTCTTAGCTCATTTCTCTGCTTATAAGAGAATCAAAATAGACTGTTTTAATTTAAAAAACCCTCACTCAAAAATCTGGAACTGTTATTATAAAACAGTGGCACTTCTCACATAAATCAGTGGTGGTAGCAGACAACAAAGTAACATATAAGTAGAACAAGATAGGCCACAAGTAGAAATAGTTTGTCTATAGGGAAAACTTTTCTTTGTTTATTTAAGTATTTACTGTAAGACTAAATGAAAAGGTGAAAAAAAAATCAATCTAACTAAATGTATTAAAGAAGTTAAATTTGTCTTAAAAATTTGACATAAAAATTGTTTATTATACTAAGGAAAACATCAGATCTGCTGTTGCTGATTTTAATAGAGCAATAACCCTTGGAGGGCTGTCAAAAATGACAATAAAACATAAGGCTATCATATTACTTTTTTTCTTTCCATATCTATTCTTTGATTACTGTGCATAGTTTGAAACATTCACATCATTCTCTTCTATTTAATCTACAATGGGCTTTCAAAAAGTTAACCCAATCTTTACACAAATACTTACACCCAAAAATGTTAGGCTTTTTTAAACAAAATATTCAATGAGCCAGATTACAGGAATGCTTTACGTATAATTCTTTTTATTTTCATGCAAAATAAAGGCACACTTAATAATAACACCCTTTCAATTTTGACTTACAGGATTTAAATTCAACCCCTTGTAACAATGGCTTAGTATCTAATGTTACATTCATGTTCAGAATGCACAAAGTACAGCAACAAATGCAGCAAACCTCTAAACGAGGTGCTACAAGTTGCTTCTACATCAAAAGACAGACAAGTGTCTGAAAGGTAATTTAACATACTTTTACAGACATACAGCTAACCTAAAGAAAGACAGACAGATTTAGGAAAGCAGCTACATCTGCAGAGGAAGGAAACAGCATGTTACAGACAGTCAATTATACATAGAACATTTGACAAACACCACAGAAAACAAACTTTGGCATCATTTTACCAGAGTACAAAACCTTGCACAAATCTTTTGGCAAGTGAAGTGCATAAGCAATGTTCTAAGGCCCAAGCAGATTGTTAATTCTAGAATTAAATATCTCTCTATATAAATATAATCTAATACAATTACATAAATTAAAAAAATAAAAAATTAACTTGGATTTACATTTCCATTCTAGTAATATGAATATCCTTGATTCACAGTCTAAAGTTAGGGCTTTTAAAAGGAAAGTGTGCATTAGACAAATGAATAAATATTTCACACATTATGACATGAGCTGTTCCCATATCATTTTATGAAAAAATGAGAAACTGATCACTATTTTCATTTGAAAGGAATACCCATTCTATCAAGTTTCTACCCTGTTCAAATACTATCTATCATATAGTATTCTGCCTATGTCAGCTGCTGAGACATGAACTGAAAAGCAAAAGGAATTCTCTGCATGCATTATGTGTACTGTTAGCAAAAGAGTGAGGTGTGCCCCAGTCCATTTGAGGCACAGCAAGTTGCATAACATCATTACCACTTTGCAGGGTCTGCCGTCCTCCAGCCAACACTCCACTAGGCAACATCCCTGTGGGAGTCAGGCCCTTGAGTGTCAGCACACTTTCACTCTCCTCCCTACAGCAGAGAGATATAAGAAGAAACATTAGAGACTTCCAACAAGTACTCAGTTCAAAAGAGATGGGAACCAGATGTAGGCTAGAGATATAATTTGATATTTATTGTTATTATTATATTTTCCTCAAATCCAAGATATACCTTTTTGCATATTTTAAATGTTTCAGAAATGTTTGTCCTACAACTGAGTAATAAACATTGTTTTTCCTGAGATGCTTTATTTTATTAAATATGTGATGAGAATCATAATTTATCAGCATCATATAACAGAAAATGTGGTATTTCACATGCTCAAAAAGTTAAAATAGCTGATATAATCAGTTCTGCAAATACAATTTTATATGACCATTTTTTTAACACACTTAATACATATAACACAATTGTAAAGACACATTTAACCCAGGAAGATAATTTATGACTTTAGCAAATATGACTTCCTATATTGATGGAAAGTTCATCAGAAATACTCTTAAAAAGTGCCCTCTCTTTCTGATCCTGCTATAGTTTCCAAGGTATAAATCTAGTGCTTTCATTCATTCTAGAACAAAACATACAAAAGGTGAGCCATAATAGTGAACCAGAGAGTCAAAGGCCCTAATTTCAAAGGTACTTGGGTTCCCTTTTTTAAATATGCAACTTCTTTATAAGAAGAATGCTACCATATTGCTTTTAGATATCAAGGAGGACACTGCCTAGAACAAGGAACCATAGAAATCACTCCTGTAAAACAAATAATCAGGAACTACATCATTACCTGAGAACAGAGAAGACCCTTGCCATCTTTCCAATTGCTCGAATTTTGTTTCTTATGATTTCTTTCCGGGCTGCAGCTGAACCTACTTTCAATGGAATAAATAGAAAGAAAGACTCAAGTTTAGGGCATCCACAGTTGCATGATTCTGTTACAGTCTGTTCTACTTATGTCAAACCAAGTCCCCTGCCACCAGTTTGCATGGAGGAGACTAGCTGAATTCATGCCAGAAAGTTTCTCACTCCCTCAATGTTTAACTCAGCCCCGGTTTTTATATCTGGGGTCTGATACAGATAAAATCAGAAGTAATCCATAAACTTTATGACTCTGACACTACTGACTAATCAGTAAAACAGCAATGGGAAAGAGACCAATGCCCAATCTACATCACAAATCAGAGAACAAAAAATTTTAACAACTCTAGAGTCTTAAATTCTCGTGAGAGTTTATAGCATGCAAACTAACAGACAAAAATTACCAACAGCCCTGTAGTGTTCTCTTTATTGACCAAGAAAGACTTTGACATGCAGCTGGAAAAATCCCATTATATGAAAACAAAATAAACTTCTTGTTTTAAATTGGTCTAAAAACAATGGTATGAAACAACTACTAATACAGCAGGCCCTAAACCAGCATTTCAACAACAATGTACGTCTCAACCTTATGGACTAGGTGTTCCCTAAGGTCATGCAAATTATGTACAAATTCTTGTGTCTCTAGATGAGTATGACACAAAGAGAGTGAGTGATGAAAAGATTCTCTAAACATGGCCAAAGCATCACTAGTACTTCACTTCCTAAGGATTAACTGTGTTGCTTATCACTGTTACAGCAGAGAAAAACTAGATCTTTGATTGAAGACTCAAAGAATATATCTTCCTTTCCTTGGCCTCCAGAAAGAACAACATCAATCTCAATCCTATTATCTCATATATAGCAATTAGAATCACTCTGAACCCAAGAGCATGGTTCCTTAGAGCTCTTTTCCAACATGATGAAAACACACATATGGAAGCACCATGGTTGAAGAGAAGTAAAGGCTAAAGACACTAGACCAAAAAAGGGCCTTATGTATACAGAGATATGAACCACCATAAGTTTTCTGGGCTAGAGTACATCGCTTAAAATTCAAGCAGCCCATAAAAGCACATAATTAAAAACTAAAGATGATGACTGAACATTATTTCAAGAAAACAGAAAAAGATATCCAATTTCAAAGAAGAAAACGAAGGATGTAATTTAGAGGATATAGGCTCCACAATCAAGTTTATGATGGGTAATGTTATGAGCACTGAAGCTACAGCTTTTAGAAGTCCAAAACTTTGTACCATGGCTCTTCACAGGTATTTTTAAGATGCCAAAGATTACTAAGTCAGAATCAAAGACTATTAGAATTTGAATAGATTAAGGTTATTGCAAAGTTCAACCTCCTTATTTTCTAAAGAAAAACTAAGTTTACTATAAAGGTAAATATAATTATCTTTGAATGAGTTAAGACAAGTAGTTTGTTTTACAATTGATGGCATTTTTAAAATAGCTAGAGTGGGAAAAAGGAGTAAAGGGAGGTGGGGAAGGATGGCTGTAATGAGATACATTCATAATTTCAGCCTTAATTACATAACAGTGAAACTGAATGGTAAACTATATTAATTTCAAATTTTAAAATTCATTGGAATATAAAAACACTGTACAAATCAGGGTTTTAAATCAGTCTACAAACACATCATGCATAATATTAAAGTAAATGTTCACAGTAAAATTACTCTGGGGAATAAGACAGACAATCAAAACACCCCTAGTCATGCAGGGAAAAGTACAAAACATTACAAATAAGCAAAAGAATGAAATTTTTTCAAAAAAGGAATGAAAAAGAGGGAAGTATTTCCATGCACAGAAAGACAGATATCTTGGAATATGACTTCTAAAAACACCAAATTCTAAGTCAGATAAAACTTAAATTTACACAAGGCCCAAGAGGACACTGAATGAACAATATTCAGTGAACAATGCTAACTTACATGGACATGAGGATAACTTATGAAGTCATATTTCAAAACAGTGTTACTCTGTCTGGTCTGTACCTTTTTTATTGCCATATATGAGCCGTTCTTCAGATGGAGAGTCCAGAAAAAAGGAAGTGAATGATGGAGAAAAGGTGGTTGAGACAAATAAAAAGATAGAGATTTAACTTGGCAGTGGTACTAAAGAATGAATGTAGAAAGAAAGGAAGAAAAATGAAGGCCCTGATATTTGAAATTTGAAAAATGTAGTACTGTAGGGTCTGGCAAATGAAAGAGGGATGACACTGGGTAGAGCTCTAAAGGAAAGATTTCTTAAAAGGTGTGTTCAGAAGAAATTATGGACAGAATGACTATAATATTTGATGAAAGTAGACAAGTTAGAGACAAAAAAACACATGAAAACACATAAGACTGATAAACGACTGTACTAACAATAATTGTACATTTATATTGATACCCCTAAGGAAACGTGTCACCCATGAAAGTATGTTAAGTGAAAAGTAATGACACAAATGAGATACAAACTCATGTGTTTCTTCAAGGACACCAACATCTGCAAAATCTGTAGTATATACAGAGAAATGTAGATAATATAAACTACCTCAGTGGTAAACTTTACCCACCATAGATAAAGGAAAGACTGTCTCCCATACTCCCTAATAACGAGAGCACAATTTCTTGAACTTTGTAGCACTTTTGTACACACTCAGAACAGTATGTGCTTTCTGTTCCAAATTCAATCTGGGAGTTTGAGAGACATCTTTTGCAGAAACAGCAACAGATTGTTTCAAAGTAAGTAATAGCCCTGAGAGTAGGCAGAAAAGATGTTTCATTTTCATATCTTCCATTTTAATGCTGAGATACACGATTCCATTATTGGAAATACAAAGTTTTAGTTTAGTAAAACTATAACACATATAGATTATGCATTTCCTTTACCAAAATCCAAAGATAAATATCTGAAAGAAACAATATCCATTCTAATTATCACAGAAATCAGTGTTCAAAATTCTCTTTAATGATTAAATAAATCTTTAATAGGAATATTATGCACATTTATACATGTAATGTTTATGCAAATTTTTGCTTTAAAAATTATACCACATACACATTAAATCATACAGAACACCAAAGATTATCACTTTAGATCACTTTAGAAGAAGATTATTCCTTTAACCAATCTCAGACTTGAATGATTTATATATGCAAAAACTACCCTATCCTCCCTGCCACTGGAAAATCTCTGGTACTGCTCTCTCTCTTGCCCCTACAGAAAATCTAAACCTTCTCTGCCTCCTCAAAAATCCCTACACCATTTAAGCTTTCTTTCTAAATCAGATTTCTCTCCAGCCCAATATATAAGCTAGTACCACTAATGGGTAAAAGGGGGAAGGACAGGACAGAAGGCATGCTACCATGGTGAAAGGAAAGGGAAAAAGATGAATAGTGTTAAAGGGAAGAAATAAGAAACATGAATAAAAAAGGGAAGTGAAACTAGTTCCAGTAGTTCTTTTCCCTACTACAGCTTAGTATAACCAAATCTTCCCTTTCCTCCATTCTGAAGAATGAAATTTTCTTTCTCCTGCAAACCACTTTCAAGACCTGGTCTTAAAATGTTCTTGGAATTCCTGGCTACTAATGCTTGGTAAAGAAAGACTAAAAAAATGAGTAAATGCAGCTGCATACTGGCAGTGAAGGGAGCTCTATTCTTAGTATTCAAATTTGAAACTCTGTATTTCCTGTAAGAAACACTGTCATAAAAGGTGCTAACCAATTTTTTCAATTACTTAAAAGTAGAAAACAATTTTCATCCTCTCTATTCCCTCAATCTATGAACAGGAATCTGAGGAGTTACTGACTTTTCCAATTACTGCTGGCATAATGGTTACACCAAAACACCTAAACTTTTTGTCTTTTTCACTAAACTATTCTCCCTCGTTAATGATCAAATTTGATTTGGACCTGGAGTGTAAGAAAGAAATGTGGATAAATGAGTACTATTTATCATTGATAGGAAAAAGGTTGGTTAAGGTATATAAAATCTCAACAGAAAGAATATAACACAAAATTTTATGTTTCATCCAGGTTAAATACTCAAAAGTTATTCAGTGTTTATCTTCATATAAATAGGTATTTAAACCAACATCTATATTAGACTTAACAAGGAAGAACTAAAGCATTATCCATTACCACTTACATTTAATGCCTTATTATACCAACATAAATTAAGAATAAAATGAAATAAATGTAAAAATGCAAGAAAAAAAATAGTATCAATGAATATGCAAATACATATTTTTTTTAAATTAAGGAAAACCAAATAAAAATTACCACAAAGAATAATCCTGGTGATTCAAGTTGTTGAACAAAAGATAAAATCCTAACTATATAATATATTCTTTTATATAGTTTGAAAATACAATAAGATGCAAATGTTAATATACTATGTAATAATATAAAATCATGAAGTATCAATTTAACTTGGTAAAAGTTTTTTCCCTAAAGAAATACCACACAATTTTAAATGGAATAATCTTATATTAAAAATATTACGTGGAGTCATCACAGTAAATTAACTCTACCTTAGTCTAGAAAATGAAACATTATTTAAAACTTCCTAGATTCACATGATTTAATGTAATGCCAATTAAAACTCCTACTATATACTTCATAGAATTTAAAATATATAAAACTACATGAAAAAATTAGTGGGTTATAGGCCCAAAATTATTTCAATCATTTCATCAATACCTATAACATTATCCTCATTTTGAAGATGAAGAAAAATTGAGGTTCAGAAAGGGTAAGTAACTTGCTTTAGGCCACAAAGCCATTATGAAAAACTAGAATCTGAATCCAGGTCCAGTCTGACAAGAGTGGTAGGAGAATAGAGAAAAGAAATATTTAATTAAAAACCTTTAAATTTTTTTACAGAAAAAAAGGACAATGAAGTATAGTAAAACTAAAAACTTCTACATAAACATTAAGGGAGAGAACTGAAATTGGAAAAAAGTATTACTTATTAAATTAATACTTCCCAAAATAAGCTGATCTAAATATATATATTTACTCCAGTTAACAAAACCACAAATGAAGAGCACAAGCACATCTCTGCTTGCCATCAAGATGGCAACAGCAGAAAGTACAAAGTCACTTTGTACTTTCAACAAATGGGCTTACAACCATGTTTAAGCATCAAACATGCTTTTAAGTAAGGTAATTTTTTTCAACTTTACTCAGATTTTACTTGGTAAGTGGTCAACAAATAGATAGCTTACACAATTAGATATGTATACAGTAATTTGTTTCTTTAGCATCAATCAGAAATCAAAGAAATGCCAGTTAAACTTATATACTGCTATATAGCCATCACACAAAATAATGCCATTGTAGTCTCAGGCAAGTTACTCAACCTTTCTGTACTTGCCTTTTTTCTTCATCTTCAAAGTAAGGTTATGTTATAGGTATTACAAGAATGACTGACGTACAGAACCCACTAACTTTTTCATATAGTTTTCACAGAATGTACTATATTCTGTGAAATGTAGAAGCTCTAATTCCTATTACATTAAATCAGTGTCTAAACTTAGGAAGCTAAAAAAATGTTTAGTTTTCCAACTAACTATGTTCCAGATCTCTGGCACTTCATGTTGGTCTAATTTTTCTGCAACATAATTTGGCAGTTCATTGTTAAAATAATGAAATTAGAGCTCTTTTATATTCTTTAACTCTATTTTTGTCTTTAAAAAATTTATTCCAAGAAGGAAAAAAATAACTATTGTGCAAAGATGTTTATTGCATGCTTTCAGAAGAATTTAAAGCAACCCAATACCCAACAATATGCCATTAGCTATGAAAATCATATTTTACCAATATTCAAGCCATGTTTAATACAAGGAAACATTACATACTCACTACAACTATGAAAAGTATGCCACAACAAAGATGTGAGGGGCATATAGAAGGAAATAGTTTTCAGTTTGCAAAGTTGTTTTTACCTACTCAGTTAAATTTAATAATTAAATAAAAGGTTTTATAAAAATTTCAAAATAAAAGGTCTTTTGTTTCTATATTTATACTATAAATGCAAAATAGGTACACAAGTTTGTTGGCTTAGTTAGAAAATAACAACTGCAGATAACTTCGTTTTTATGGAAAAAAATGCTGCCTGAAATGCAAACTAAATGAACAACTGGTCTCATAGAAAACCACCACTTCCAATAGGAACAGTCTTACTACAGTTTTGGAAGGAAGAAGTGACAACAACATTTGGGGTCAGGTATGTTCATAAACATGCCCTGAAAACGTTGTACCAAGGAAATAAAAAGCATTTTGACCCTCCATTTTCTAAATAACTCACAGCTAGTAAGAACCACAACCTTTTAATAACTTTCATTTTCCTGTCCCTTCTGTTCTTTCTGCCAAATTTTGTCTCCCCCCCAAATTTATCTTCTTCCTCATACCAACAAAAAATTGTAAAAATCTTTAAAATCTTAAAACATCTGAAAAAATTATCACTCACTTATCATATAGCATAGTCATTTGCAAGCAAGAAGAGAAAATGTTTTGCAAAAGTGTATATTGAAGATAGGTAGTTAATAGGTACCATTCACAATAAAAAATAGTAAAATGAATAATCATACCATCAAACTGGTCTTCACCTTCAGTCATCAGTTCATCATCAGAGCAAATACTCAGAACATTTACCAACATTTCTGTCACTATTTAAAAAAAAGGTTCACATTAGTTGATGATATTTGATTACTTGTATATAAAACAACAATTATTTATATAAATGGTAAAATAATTTTAACCTAAGAAGATTAGGACAACAGGAATGAGGGAATAAAAAAATAGAAAGATTTTCAAAATCAAAGAAATTTTGTGGACAGCAAGTTTGAGACAGCCTTTGTGTAATAAATTATCTGGCCCCTCAGAAAAGGAATCGAGAGGAATAGAGATATGAAAAGATATGAATAATATCTATATGCATACACTTAGCATTTTCACTCACAGACACAGCATTAAAGAATAAGGAAAAAAAAAATCAAGGCACAACTCCACTCTTTCAAAAAATTCTAGAATTCAATCCTTTAAAAACTGACTCTAGGCCCTCCCTGGTGGAGCAGTGGGTTAAAGCACAGCACTAAGAAGCTAAAGCCACTTCCACCTGAGTTCTATCCCTACCTGCCCCAGAGGGGATACACATGGCGTGGCAGACCTCTCCTGACCCGCCCACTGCTCCCCTCAGCAGTGTACTTCATCGATCTGTCTGTTCTGCTCCCCACTTTGTCCCTGGTGAATCCTCTCACCCTCCACATCTCTGGCCTGTACTCCAGTTCTGTATGAATAAATAAATAAATCTAAAATAAAAATAAAATAAAAATTGACTCTAGCAACTCACCTGAAATTTAACTGTAAAGATTTCTGATGACAATTTAACAACACAAGCCCTTAATACTTTATTAGGATTAATCTTCCTTTACCATTCTATATATTTTTCTCTTTTCCCTTTGTTTCCATGACTCTGTTCCTCTTCTCTTTGCTTCCAGGAGTCTAATCTTGATTTTCCCACCTTTTAGAACATTTCCCCTCAAATTTGGATGTTCTCAATTCTCTCTGCAGTTCTGGTCTTCCTACATGCTCAATTTCTTGGTCATTTCATCCATTACTATATTATCCATTATTATAGCATTTCAGCATTATTTCTTTGAAGATTTTTCCAAAGTGTACATTGCCTGTCTTGACCTATCTTCAGTCGCTAGATTTCCTTGCTAGTTTTACTGTCAACCATCTTACCCATGTGTATATTGTTCAACGTTTTCCCTACTAGAATATATTGTTTCCCACTGTATCCACAGAGCCTCGAATAGTGCCTCGCATATGACAGGCATCCAATAAATATCTGACAAGTGAAAGAATAAAAAGGAAAGGCCAGGAAAATGACCCACATGGCACAGCAGACCCCTCCTACTTGTCCACTGCTGCCTGCAGCAGTGTACTTTGTAGATCTGCCTGTACTGCTCCCCACTCTGTCTCTGGTGAATCCTCTCACATCCTCTGCACCTCTGGCCTGTACCCCAACTCTATATGCACACATAAATAAGTAAATCTAAAAAAAATATGAATGCCTATTAAACATTAGTCCTGGGTGGTACCTAGAAATAAACAAATCTAAAACAAAATGCAATCCTGGCTCTACTGTTCTTCCTACAAATATACTGATGATATACCACATGCCACACACTATGCTAAAGCTTTGGGATTGAAATATAAAATGTTTAGTCCCTACACCCAAAAATTACTAGCTACTGAAAGATATATACCTATTTAAAAAAAGTGACAGGTATACTACAAGTATGCAGAGGTATGCAAAAGATCTACAGAGTAATGGAAGGCTTTGGGATAAGAATCATAAAGTAGTTTGCTAGTGGTGAAGGCAGGTAAGGCATTCTAAATAAAAGTCAGAAAAAGTGTGAAGTAGTCATACTTCAATAGAATAATGGAAGACAACTGAGTCCAGAAACACAACCTCACATTTAAAGTCAAATGACTTTTGAAAAGGGTGCCAAAACAAGTCAATAGGGGTGAAAAAAGTCTTCAACAAAAGAAGGTGGGTTAACTGGGTAACTGCATGCAAAAGGAATGAAGTTCAACACCTCACCTTACACAATGTAAGTGTAAAACCTATCAAAAACCTAAATCTTAAGAGCTTTAACTATAAAACACTTGGAAGAAAACATTGGGGTAAATCTTTACAGCTTAGATTAGGCAACCATTTCTTAAACATTACACCAAAAGCAGGTGCAACAGAAGAAAAAATAAAACTTTTGTACTACAAAGAAGAAAAAATAAAACTTTTGTACTACAAAGGACAAATAAGAATAGGACAAAATACTTGCAAATCATATCTGATAAGGAACTTACATCTAAAATTAAAAAGCAAGTCTTATCACTTAGTAAAGTGATAACTTATTTCAAAAATGCGAGTAGGGTTTAAACCAACATTTCTCCAAAAAGTATATATAAATGCCCAATAAGCTCATGAAAATATAATAACTATTATTATTAACTAGGAAGATGCAAATCAAAACCATAATAAGAAGCAATTTCATAGTCAATATAATGGCTACAGTGTAAGATACAGAAGTGTTAGCAATGATATAGAAAATTAAAACCACTATTCTTTGCTGGCAAGACTGTAAAATGGTTTTAGAAAATAGTCTGGCATATCCTTAAAAGATTCAACAAAGGAATTACCATATGACCCAGCAATTCTATTATCATGTTCATACCTAAGAAAAATGAAAACATATGTTCACATAAAAACTTATACACAATGCTCACTGCAGTATTATCTGAAATAGTTAAAAAGTAGAAACAACCAAATGTCCATTAGTTGATAAATGGATAAACAAAACATGTATATCCATATAACAGAGTACTAGTCATAAAAAGGAATAAGGTACTGACTCAAGCCATAACAATGGGTGAATGTTGAAATACCTCATTTGTGAGAAGTCAGTCACAAATGACCACATATCATATGATTCCATTTATAGGAAACTGCCAACAGATACAAAGCTATGGAAAAAGAGACTATTGGTTGCCTAGAGCTGGCAAGGAGAGAAGGAGGAAAGAAATGGGGAATAACTAGTAAGACACAGAATTTTGGGGGTAGGATGATGAAAATGTTCTAAAATTGACTGAGATGATAGTTCTGTAACACTGAAAAATGCTAAAAAACCACTGAACTATGTATAATTCAAATGGGCCAGTTATGCGGTATGTGAATTATATCTCAATAGTTATCTCTGAGAACTTATGAAAACTATTTTAAAAATTAACAAGACATGAAACAACACAGAATACTCAGGAAATACAGTATGCTGTGTTATGGCTGGTACACAGAGAATATGAAAAAGGTAAGAAAGAAAGAAGGGAAGTCCCAAGATTTTGTATGGTAGGTTAAAATTTATCTTGAAAGCTAGCAAAAGCCATTTAGAAGCTACTAAAAAGGACTTCTAAGTATATAGTATTTTTCATCCAGAAGCATAACTTTAAGGAAAGGCAAGAAAGTCGTAACAGCCATAAAGACATCAGATGGAGAAAAATGTTATTTTTATTCAAAAATCACATAGATTTGAACAATTTTTAAAAAACACCTGGTAGAGAGAGTTTGAAGATTCAGAGGATCTACATGATGATATATGTTTCCTGAAGAAGCATAAGGGTAAAAGAATCTCAATCAAATTAGAAGAATTATTCCTAGATGGAAGGGTTCTTTCCTTTAATAGAGAAGAATTCAAGATGGGTACATTTATAAAGCAGATAAATAACAGATAAAGTTCCTGTTAAGGGTATGCTTTTTCTCTAAGAATGAGTAAAGTTGCTAGAAGAAGAAAGCATTTAAGAAAAAATTAATCTTAGAATGTATTTTAAGGGAAATGAGAGAGAAAGTAGATTAGTGACATAAATGATATTTGGGTACTATAGATAGCCCAATTAATAAAAGGGTGATACCAATTCATAGGGCTGAAAATTAATCCCCATCAATGTTCTGTGCTGTGACTATAAAAAGGGAGAAAATGGATGGTTGGACTTAACTAGAACTAATGAACTATAAAAGCAAAGAAGGGCCTCCTTGGTGGTGTGTGGGTTGTCTCACCACTATCACCATGACAGTCTAAGTTCAATTCCCAGCCAGGGAGCTGACCCACATATGGTGCAGCAGACCTCTCCTGTCTCACCGGCTGCTACCCTCAGCAGTGTAGTTCAGAAAATCCACCTGCTCTGCTAATCACTCTGTTTCTGTTGAATTCTCTCACCATATACACCACTGGTCAACAACCCAGTTTTTTCTGCACAAAATCTTTTTTTTTTTAAAAGGGGGTGGAAGAAAGTTTGAGGGTGTGTTAAGGAAGACAGGCAAAAGGAATTTTACTAATGAGAAAATGACACAGCCAAAGGTCTAAAGATCAATTAAAAAAACAAAGATCAGCAAATCAGCAACTGGATTGCCACAATAACAATTTTTTAATTAGAGAATATTAATGCCATTATCATCTTCAGATTCAAAACATCTTCAAATACACCCTCCCCTTAAACATGCAACCTCATTACGTTTCACTGATTCTATTCCTACAATTCCTGCAGTTCTCCCTTGCTCTCCATTCTTAATACACCCAGGGGTTGACTATATAGACACATAACAGGTCTCCCGAAATGCTAGTCTTCTTTCCAATTTCCCCAGAGTGATTTTTCTGAATGACTATCATGATCACATTTTGTTTCACTGAGCTTCCCATCACTTATCTAAGTTCCAAATTCTTTGTGTGGTGATCAAGGTCCTCATGATCTAGCCTTGACTAAACCTGTTACATTTCCCTACTACTGTTCTTCATACATCTTACTCAATCAAATCAAACCTCTCAACATCTATCAGAGACCTTTATGCCCTCTAGCTTTCAGACTCAAGTTTGAGTTCTCTTACTTAAAATTCTCTTGCCATCACAGAATTCTACCATTCAAATGCAAACCCCATTTCAAATGCTACTGTAAATCTCTCTGTTACATTTTACTAATTATTTATGTACCTAAAATACCTGATATTTTCAGATTTTTGTATCCTTAGAAACTTGAAAAAAACTTTCAAAAAATCAAATATAGTAAGGAAATAAATAGTAAATAACCTTCTATAGACGATCACATCCTATTGCACAATCTAGAACAGAGGTTCTTAAACCAGAAACAATACACTTGAAAGAGGTTACCAATTCACTTCAGAACTATGAACATCCTGAAAATGTTACATGCATGTACCGATGTACAAATATCTGTACATGAATTTTTCTGGGGCAAAAGTTCTTAACATTCCTCACATTCTCATGGGATCTATGTTAAGAAATTATTTTTTTATAGCTACTTTAATAATAATGTCTTTTAGAGATACATTCTAAAATATTTACAGATTAAAAAAACAGCTAAGATTTGATTCAAAATAAATGTGGTGTGAGGTGGGAAGAAGTGAATGAGGATGTAAGTGACACATTATTGGCCATATTTGACACTTAAAATTCGTATTAGTCAATCTACCTCTTGCACAAGATTTTTTTGTAATGAAATGTAAGTTCCTTAAAGATTAAACAACATTGCTTTCATCTAACATCAGGATTAAACCAGATGCACAAAGCTTCTGGCTTAGGTTAGGTTAGTTGTTTCCCAAGTGATAGGTGTCAAACTGACTTTTTCAAAGTAGAGAAAATGAGATACAATTTGCTGCTTACTCTTCACACCAAAAGAAAAACTGTAATTAGAATCAAGAAGTAGTCAGGCTATTTAACTAGCTAACTTATTTTATTGAAAAATGGGAAAGTTTGAGAAAATTTTCTTATGGTATTCAACATTGATTAGGATTCTAGCTGTGTATAACATGCAAATCGGGACTTTGCAGTTTTAGAAAGATTCAAATAATTTAGAGATCCATAAAAAAACTCAAAAAATGGTCAAAAGATCTGAATATTTCCTATTATAATAGGTAAAATTAAAGTGCAAAAGAAAAGAAGATTAATTAAAGGGAGATTAATTAAATGTAGACACTGATAAAAACCTACTGATCTCCACATTCATTTATAAGAGGTCCATAAAAACAAAATTTTCTCATCTTTCAAAAGGAATTAAGACTACATGACTGGTTAAGTTCACTGTGAGCTCTAAAACTCTTATGATATTTTTGATAAGTACACTGATTGGGAAAACTATTTCTTGTTTAAATACTAAAACATAAACATTTAAGTATATCACAAAATATTTATTAGGGAGGCATCAGGGAATCAAACTTGAATCTATGAAATATTAATTTACCTCAGACTTATAATTCCTTCTTTTTCCACCTCACCCCACTACTCTACTACATTAAAATAGTTGAAGCGGCAGTCTAGCCTACAGGCAGGAGAATGAGCAAGAGGAGTTCCCAAATTACCTTTAGCCTGATGATGCTATGATTGAACTATTTCTCAGACACCAAAGATAGAAGGTTGTAGTGTAATGCATCCTTTGCACCTAAGCCTTTTACTGGCCCCTTTCTCAAATGCTAAAGTGGGTAATTCTATCTCCATATTAACTTAATGTTGTTCTACTGAGTAACCAAAGGCAATATACAAAACACCTATTTAACAAAAAAACAGTTTAAGTATTAATTCTGAATTTCAGAAGCAAAAATTGCCTTAGTCACAGTAACTTATCTCAAACAGAAAATAACATTTTGTGACATGGAAGAGGTGAGAAAATCAGAAAGGGATGTAGAACAAAATGTTTCATAATATCTACACTCTCATACTGTAAATTTCCACAGATGAAAATAGAGGCATTTGTTTTGTAGAAAAATTAACAATAAAATGGGAAAAGAATATGAAAATGCATGGAAATCCTAAGAGTAAAATAAGCAATTTTTAAACAATACTTATGTTCTCTTAAAAAGACTATGGGGGGGGGGGCCCTCCCTGGTGGCGCAGCGGGTCAAAGCACAGCACTGAGAAGCTAAAGCCACTTCCGCATGAGTTCGATTCCCACCTGCCCCGGAGGAGACCACATGGCTCGGCAGACCTCTCCTGACCCTCCCACTGCCCCCTTCAGTAGTGTACTTCATCTATCTGCCTGTTCTGTTCCCCACTCTGTCTCAGGTGAAGCCTCTCGCCGCCCCTGAGCCTCTAGCCTACGCCCCAGCCCTGTGTGCATAAATAAATAAATCTTTGAAGAAAAAAAAAAAAAAGACTATGGGGGGCCCTCCCTGGTGGTGCAGCAGGTTAAAGCACAGCACTAAGAAGCTAAAGCCACTTCAGCATGAGTTTGAACCTCCCCCTACCGGAGGTGATCCATATGGTGCGGCAGACTTCTCCTGACCTGCCCACTGCCCCCCTCAGCAGTGTACTTCCTTGATCTGCCTGTTCTGCTCCCCACTCTGTCTCTGGTGAAGCCTCTCACCCCCTGCACCTCTGGTCTGTACCCCAGTTCTGTATGCATATATAAATAAACCTAAAAAAAAAAAAGACTTATGTATGTAATAATACATATATCCTTCTCTCAGAGAAGCATTACCACAAGATTACAAACATTTTAATATATATATTATATACACTTTACTTTGTATAAAATTATATAGACTTTGCATTAAAATTATAGATATTTTTATATATGAGAATAGGTTAGAATCTGAATTTCTCTTTAAAATAACTAATCAGAGTACCAAACTGTTGTTAACATTGTTCAAAATAAGAGCAATTAAATTCCCCCATGAACTGCTGTAGTATTCCCAATATTGTTGTTACACTACACAATAAGATCCATTATAAGGCTCTCTCTCTATCCCCTTCATAGAAGATTTAAATTAAAGAAAAAAGAAAAAGATCCAACAGCTGAAGACATCAGGCTATTTATAAGTCATCTTCCAGTCCCCCAGACACCCTCAGATGGGGGTTGTAAACAATGAACTAAAATATCTTTTAAGTTCTCATATACACACCCACTGACAAAAGCAGAGTTGCAACCACAGTGAAATTAAATTTGTTTCCTTTAGCAAGTATATATCTGCTCTAGTAAATTGGAGTAAATGTTCAGTAAAAAAACAATCATTTATTATTTAAAGTAAAAATTATACCTTTTTCTCCAACAAATGGTAAGGACCATGTGAAGACATCCATAAAATTAGGCAACCAGTAAGGATGTGGAGAACAGTTAAACTGTCGAATATTCATTACATTATTTTCATACTTTAATACAGCAGCTGCAAGATAAGTTTGAATGACAGTGTAACAGTTTGCCTTAAACTCCAAAAGTTTAACACAAAAGCAGAAAAAATATCTTTTTAAGGGGGTGGGGAATAAAGGGATGAATAGAATGACGGCTAGTATAGAGAAATAAGAATTAATTTCAGTAACACATTTTCATTTTTAACAGACTTCATGGATAGTCAGATCTTCACTCATTACTATAAATTTCCAGATTCTGTCTAGATCTTTTCATTTTATTCTATACTCTACCAATAAACATGTCTTATTAAATCCAAAATTGTGAAAACTCAATTTTTAGAGGAAACACAGAATGGCAATGAGCAATTTTCTAGGTTTAAAAGTTCATACAAATAAGAGGAACTTAAACAGGTCTTTTTCTTGCAGACAACCTGATTAGGATAGTTGAATGATAATAAAGCAAAAATAAATAAAATCAATCTGGAAAATCTCATTTATGACTATATGGATGTATTGATTTAATTTTTATATGGAAAGTCAAATTAAACTACTACAAAGAAATATTTTATTTCACATAGAAAAAAATTAAATACCATAAAAAACCAAAATTTTTTATTAACCACATAATCCAAAGGTTATATAGTCATCTTAATTTCAGATAGCTTTCTAATGTCTTGATGTGCTAATAGAAATATCTTAAATTAACTTGTAGATTTGAGTCATTAGTTATATTATTTCATGGAACACTTGGGTTAGATTCTAAGTTATAGCATATGCTAGCTGTACAAAGCTTGGTAAACTATTTAATCTGCTTCTTATTCATAAAACAGAACTAATATTTCCATCTTGCCTACCACAAAAGTTTGCTTTAGAATAAGAAAATATATTTCACATGAAAGTAAAATAAAATAATGCATTGTAGATATTGTAATAATTATACAGTTACTTTCTCCCATTTAATGAAAAGCAATGACATGTAGATGTTAAATTCCAAGATTTGTGATTCTGGCTAATTCAGAGTTAAAAGTAATATGCTTGTTTCCCTTATGAAATTCCCATGTGAAATAAAAGTACTTTAAATTAATCTCAGAAATTAAGGGTTGTTACCAATGTTTTACCTTTAAAAAAAGGAGACAAAGAGAATCTAGAAAATTGCTTTATGGATGGAACAAAACATTACAAACATACCCATACCATGTAAACACTCAAATCATTAACATTATGTACAGACTCAAAACTACCAAGACATATTTGATTTTTGACAGGACAAATTCAATGGTTTGAGTTTCTTTTCTGAGTAGTGAGAAAAGTGATCCCTTAACATTCTAAGTCAAACTGACAAAGGACAAATAGCAAGACAATAATCAACAGAAATACTGAACTTTGGCTCTTTTAATACTGACAGGAGATGTGACAGTTGAGAAATTAGAGCATTGGTAGAAAAATATAAGACTAGATTCTGTTTTTGACAATAGAGTAAAAAATTCCATGTTTCTCCTAAAAAATAAGGCTGTAATTCACTAGATATTTTATAGAAGTTCAAAATTTTATCATGCGAAATATAATTTGGAATATTTTAACACTGACATAATCCTTAGAAGCTGCATTGATACTGGCTTCTGAAGAATAGCAACTCAGTTAACACCAAGGTATGGCTGCTGTGGTAATTAACAGAGTGTTATTTCCTGTTGCATTTCTATCAGTTACTATATAGCATGACGCTATTTTATCTCTGGCAAATTTTAATCTTTTAACCATCACCTCCAATCATTAAAAAAAAAACAAAAAACTCATTCTGTTCTTTTATTCACACCATGATCCATATTTAGTAATGACCTCATTATCTTTCTAAATGTACTTTTAAAAGTCTTTAACCTTCTATTCTTTCCTATTGCCACATTCACTCAAGCCTAACCATAGAAGCTATGGCATAATCAACTGGATTCCAAACATGTCAGGGTGGAATAGGAGCTAGCTTCTTAATTTCCACTTTTGAAAATGTAAACTACATAAACAAATCCAAGTTCATCTTCAATGTCCTTAGCATGTACTTAACTAGATTAAGATCCTTTGGTATTACCTGTCAATAGTCAAAGTTATGCTCAAAGTTAAATGAAACACAGTTATTATAGACAGATCAAATTTGGAAAGAAGGAGAGGGAATGTAAACCACTAGAAGTGAAGGTAAAGGGGAAAAAATGGAAGAAAGAGCAATAAAAAGAAAGGAAAGATAAGAAGGTGTGCCTGAGCAGAGATCAGAGCAAATGAATCATAAAAGGCTCAAATATAGATTTTAAAGGGGCAATGGTAAGACTGTGAAAGGAAAAGTAGGAAAGAATGGGAAAGACAGCCTTGATCAGTAAAACATAAAACAAGAAACATGATGAACAACTATACAGTGCAAATAAGCAAAAATAGTCAAAGTGGCAGCAATAGCTTTATGAAAACAAAAAACATTGTCTTGATTATAAAGGGAAAGATTTAAGAAAGGGGAGTTTAAGAAAATCATGTTTGATTTTGGTTGACACACTTTAACTGAACGCATTCTTTAACAAGACAGAGTTTGTGAATGACTAGTTGTGGAATGATTATACATAACTTTAGTTTCACATTTTGGATTTTTATTTCTTGTTTTCTCCCCTCCCTTATATCTTATTGTTTATAAGATTTGGATTGTTACATTTTCAAACAGTGCCCTTTTTCTTTTTTTCTTTTTTTTTTTTTTTGTTGTTGTTGTTGTTTAAAAAGTAAATTAAAACGCTAAGTTGTTTAACAATTTTTTTATTAACAACATCTTACCTTTATTATTGTAGACATCTAAGTAATTAGGTGCCGAAAAAATTGTTATTAATGAAGGGAACCCTGTAGTTTGACTTTTTCTGTACATTCTATAGCTGCAAAACAAATAGCTTAATATGCATCGTAAAGCATCAATCATGGTTACTATGTTTGATTTGTAATTAAGGTGTTAATTTGGGTCAGGGAAACAGAATTCTTACCCTGCATCTTGAGCTTCATGAGCTCTAATAATCGATAACAAATTATTGTTTTGCAAAAATTCACACACTGCTGGATAGCTGTGGGGGAAAAAGAGTAAATTAAGTAAAATAATGTTTTTCTATATGAAGCATATGCTATTTTTCATAGCTAAAATATCATTAATCTTGGAATTATTTTTCTTACTTATAAAAATAAGAACATCCCCGAACTGTATTGTGACTAAAATGTTCCTGTGATTTTTCATTTCCAAAATCTTCAGAAGGATCAGACCATAGCAAGTCACACATTGGTCCAAATGCAGGTGGCTCTTTGAATCTATCTAACTGTGAAAGAAAGAAAAGGAAATAGATAACTCACCAAAATGAGAACAGAATGGGTACAGTAAAGCAGTAACAACTTTGACTACAGTCCATACAACATTGTTCTAAATGGTTAGAAGGTATTTTCTTAAAATACTAATATATGAACTTTTATCATTACCCCATCTTGATAGTGATAAGTTTGAAGCTTTGATTCTCTATTAAAAAAAAAAGTACTACACATAGGAATCAACTTTGGATTGAAAATACTCACTCTCCTAATATCATCCAGTGTGTGTATTTCTGGTGAAAGTCCACCATGAACACAAAGAAACTGTTGGTTTAAAAGTGCAGCAAGAGGCAGGCTATCAAAAGCTTCCATACAAGCTTCATAGACTCTTTCTGAATATTTAATTTTACCTAGAAAAAGAAAATATTAAGTACTTTAAAGTTATATCACCAAGTTGGCCATTTTGAAAGTGTATGTGAAACTGACTATTAAAACCAAGGCAAGAAAACTATAGACACAGAAAACAGGTGGTGGCTATGCGTGGAGGAAAAAGGGAATTTATAGTATGATTTAACTTTTTTTGTATCATGATTGTGGTAGCAAGCAACCCTGTGCATTTATCACAACCCAGAACCAAAACTGAATATTTACTATATACAATTTTTTTTAAAGCTAAGCATCTTGTCCTATAGGAATCAACAAAAGTAAGTAATATTATTGGTTGTAAAGACCAAATACCTGGTCTCTCTAACTTTATTTTGGGTATGCAGTAGTCATAAAGTATTATTAAAAATAAATAAGTCAAATCTCTGAAAACAGTTCAAGCATTCACCTTTATAGACCAAGTAAAGAGAAATGAGAACTATAACTTACAGTTAAAATAATATGAAGTTTTAGTCTAAGAATTACTACTGTGTTATTACAAGATCATTACATTATCACAAGGCCTATCCAATTAAAAAAGAAAAAAGTTTTCATATTGATTTGTTATAGAGGCTATGAGGTTCCTCTAGTCCACAATGGACAATGAAGCAGGAGGCAAATATAAATACAAAATTCCACTTAATCATAAGGAGTATCGCATTCCTTTGTTCCTTTTAATTCCTGGATATTTATGATTTTGGTGGGTGATTTCTTAGTTAAGAACACAAAAGCTTAGTTCCTATTTCTTTTCTAATATTGTAATATTTAAAGATAAGAAAATCTATTTCTAGCAACCAGGGGTTCTAAACTGCTATCTGCTGACGGACCTATTTACCAGTGTGGCTTAATAAAAATTTTGATTGCTTTTAGGTTAAACGTGCACGTAACTTAACATTAGGTCTCATCTAGCATTTATTTATGTTTCACACCTAACCCATTAAGTTATATGAATTTGCCATCTCTGCTACTAACCATCATTGTATATTTTCCTTTCACAGGAAGTCTGTCTAGTAGTATGATTTTTATTGGAACTGGTTTTGGATCTCAATAACTCTGAAATTACTTATATTTTTAGAATTTAATTCTAAGACTTAATACAATCATGAAAAACTTAAATGTAGTTTTGTTTTTTAAGGTTTCAGTTATCTGCAGTCAATCAAGGTATGAAAATACTATATCCTAAGATATATTGAAAGATCATAGTCACATAACTTTTATTACAGTATATTGTTGTAATTGTCTTATCTTATTAGTTACTGTTGCTAATCACTACTATGCCTGTTATAAATTAAACTACACCTGTATAAAGAAAAGAATGGATCAGTGAGGAGTATAAATAAATTCTTAGTTTAAGGAATCCACTGAGGGTCTTGGAATCTTATCACAAGAAAACCACTGTATTAACAAGCACACAGCGATGAAGTGTGAAAAAAAAAGATCAAATGTTGCTCTGTATCATATGATTGCTATAGTAATTTAAGAGAGAAATGGGTAAATAGTATAGATTAAAATTTCAATTCACTAATTTATGTATGGAAGTCTATAACAATGACAGGATAAACAGTTTGTTAAGAATATTCATGGGAATGCCTCAATAATGGGAAACAAAAATCCCCAATGCAACAACTTTTCTTGGATTTTTACTTACTATTAGAAACATAAATTTAACATTAAAACTATACATAAGTCAAACTGTTCCTAAGTACAATTTGTAAAAATCAAACTTCATGGGAAGTATCAAAATGAACACACTTGAATAAGTTACTGTTAAATGCTGGAGAGCTCCTTACAAAATTCTTCAAAGCCTTATGTGTTCAGACACAAAATATGTTGTTATATACTGCACTGAAAACTCTTCTTAACCCTTACTACTCAGATGACTCCAAAAGAATATGGAAAAAGTGAAAATATTTCTCCTGGCAGTACTCACATTCCTGCTTAAAGGTAAAATATTCAGTAAGGTGTCTGCATTCATGGTTGCCTCTCAGAAGAAATAATGTGCTTGGGTATAGAATCTTCAAGACCCATAAATATAAGACACACTGAAAAAAAAAAAAGTTTCCAATGAATTTATCTTGCATTTTTGTTTAACTTTGTTTGAACTTTGCCTCTTTTCCAGTAAACCTATTACCAGTAAAATCTGTTACTCTTTAGTATCTTTTTCTCTCTGTCCCTTACTAAAATATAAGTTTCATGACCTCAGGGACTTTGTCGTATTAATCACTTCTGATTCTATACTTCAGAAAAATACAATAATTATTTGTTGAATAAATAAGTCAAATAATCTAACTATTTTGATTTACAGATTCTTGCTGTAAAAACAATACAGATTGAACTTTAAACACGTCAATAAATAAAATAGTAATATCAAATGCAATAGCAGTTAACATTTATTAAATACTAAATATCAAGCACTATAATCAACCTCAATTTATTCCTCAACCAACCCAATAATGGCCTCCCTGATGGCGCTAGGGGTAATTCCCAGCACTATAAAGCAATCTGCAGTCACTGAAGCAGGAGTTCCACCCCAGGCCAGGGATCTAACGCACAAAGCCTAAGCTCCTGCTACTCCCCTCAGCAGTGCATTTCAATCTGTTCTGCTCCCCACTCTATCTCTGGTGAATGAATCCTTTTACACTCCCCACATTTCTGGCATAAATAAAGAAATCTTAAAAAAAAAAAAAAAACCACTGAAGTGTGTTAATATTATTTCTCTTTTATAAATAAGGAAACTGAAGCAAGGAGCATAAGTAACTTGTCTGAAATAATCAGACTTTTAAGTAAAACAAAATTCTGATCCTCTGATTTTAAGGACCATGCCATGCTGCCTGATAAAGGGAGTAGTCATATTATATTATTAATGTTTAATGTTGCCTCATTAAGGTAGATGCTTATTATTTAAACTGATTTAAAGACAGTACTTTTTTTAAATAAAAAAGAATATCTACATAGAGACAACAAATACTTTTCTCTAAATAAATTTAAAACAAGAAACAGATTCACATTTTACTTATTTCATTAAAAAAAAAAAAAAAAAAACATGGACAGGGCCCTCCCTAGTGGCGCAGCGGGTTAAAGCACAGCACTAAAAAGCTAAAGCCACTTCAGCATGAGTTCGATTCCCACCCGCCCTGGAGGTGATCCACATGTCTCGGCAGAACTCTTCTGACCCTCCCGCTGCTCCTATCAGCAGTGTGTTTTGTAAGTTGGTCTGTTCTGCTCCCCAGTCTGTTTCTGGTGGGTCCTCTGACCGCCCCTGCACCTATAGCTTGTACTGTATGCACAAATAAATCTTAAAAAAAAAAAAAAGAACAATTTCATATGGAAATAAGCTGTTAAAATAATCACACACAAAAAGAACTATTTTTAGTAAGTTAAGATATACTTCAATGTGTAATTATTCACACCTTTATTTTATTCACAAGAAAGAAATTTAACCTATTTTAAAAAAAATTTAACAAATTTCGTGCACATTTTGATTTGCTGTTATTTCCCTTTTATAACAATAACATATATTAAGAATCAGCTACAAAGCACACTAATATATGGATATACATACCAACAAGTTCAGTTACCAACTGCATTCCCCAAATTGATGATTTTATATAAGTTAATTATACTATTGACTTATATTACTTAATATTATTACTTTGTCAAAAATTCTAATTTTTGTTAAAAAGGACCATTTTCTAGTTTTCTTGAAGCTTTGAGTGATGGCTGATGGGACTGATGATGAAACAATGGATGGAAGATCAACTCAGGACAATAGAATTTCGAAGAAAATTTCAAACCCCTAAACTCCTCTCCCTCTAGAAGTGATAGCATTCTTTAGAAAAGAGGCTGAAAACACTGAAAGGGGGATATAAACAGTAACAACACAGAAATTTCACCAGGTAAGACTTCAACATCTACTGAGAGAAGTGGCTTAACAGCATAGGCTTGCAGTGCATGGCCTGGTTGCACTGATGAAGAACAATGTGACCTTGGGGGCAAGTTACTTAACTTTTCCAAGCCTCAGGTTCCTCATCTATAAAACAGATAAAATAACAACACAATGCTGCTGTGAGGACTATTCACCAATGCATGTTAAATGCTTAGACTATGTTAAATGCTCAACACAATTATAGGTAAAGTTTTTATACAGTAATTTTAACTCTAGGAATCCATTCTACAGAAATAATTGGGCAAATATGCAAAGATGTATTCCTAATATGGCTCAATGAAATATCATTTGTAATGTCAAAATACTAGGAATACATTTAGTGCTAAAATAAAGAATTTATTAATTTGTTTAACCAATGGAAAATAGTGCAGTTATTTCAAATGATGCTATAAAATTTATATTCACTAACTGGAAAGACATCATAACCCAAGGATGTATGAAAAAGCAAACATAAAAATATAGTATAGCCCCAATTACATTTCAAAAAAGATGCATATATATTAGAAATTACAACAATAAATATATACATATTCGAAAATATAAATTGTTCTCTATTTACCTTTTTTTTAAAGACTTACTTTTATTTATTTCTGCATACATGAACTGGGGTGTAGGCTAGAGATGCAGAGGGTGAGAGGATTCACCAAAGACAGGGTAGGGAGTAGAACAGGCAGATGTACTGAAATACACTGCTGAGGGGAGCAGCGGGCAAAACAGGAGAGATCTGCTGTGCTATGTGGGTTAGCTGCCTGGATGGGGATTGAACTGCTGCCATTGTGGCTGGATATAGCTTGATAGCGCTGAGACTTTAACCCCTGTGCCACAAGGGAGGCCCTTTATTACCTTATTTTAAAAGCAAATACAGAATATTATAATATGGTTGTTTTCATTTCAAAAAAGGATCTATATATATTAGAAAATACAAACTGTTCTATATTTGCCTTATTTTATGTATATTAAAAAGATAAAACTAACAAAAAGAACCTTCTACAGTTAAGTGATGATTAACAAGCCATTTTAATGCCTACTGAATTTTTGAAATAAATGCATACTTTCAGGATATACAAGGCTGCATATGATATACTTGGGTTTTTTTTTTTAAAGATTTATTTCTTTGTACATACAGAACTGGGGTACAGGCCAGAGGCTCAGGGGGCGGTGAGAGGCTTCACCAGAGACAGAGTGGGGAGCAGAACAGGCAGATCGACGAAGTACACTGCTGAGGGGAGCAGCAGGCGGGCCAGGAGAGGTCTCCACGCCATGTGGTCACCTCCGGGGCAGGCGGGAATCGAACTCATGCGGAAGTGGCTTTAGCTTCTCAGTACAGTGCTTTAACCCGCTGCGCCACCAGGGAGGGCCTATACTTGGGTTTTAATAGCTTCAAGAGGAGTGAAAGCATCACTAGATTTTAAAACAATAAAAGCATTATGATGTGTTTTTAACCATAGAAAATTCAGTTATCTTTTTTCATGTAGGTTAGCATATTTTCACATGCATTATTGCAACAGAGGTAAATAGTACTATCTCTTTTGGGCCACTGAATAACAGCAATAAAGACCCCTCAGTTTGCTTACAATTTCCATTGGAAAAAAATGGTAGTTATAAATGGAGTAATACACAGAAATTATTATGACAGTTTAAAAATGGAAGAGGAATTCAGCAGCTTGTCTCAAAACTTCAAAATATGTAGAGGTATTTAAAAATAAGGAACTTATTTTATTAGGTATTAATGGAAATCATATTAATACTTAAGAGCAAATCAAATGACAATGTATCATTACCTCTATACTAAAATAACCTCTGTCCACATAGTCACCAAGGAAAAGGTATCGTGTATTAGCAGGTGATCCTCCTACTTCAAAAAGTTTCATCAGATCAAAAAATTGGCCATGGATGTCACCACACACTGAAAAAAGAAACAGTATTAGTTTTATATATATGTGTATATATATACACATACACACACATACATATATATAGCCAACAGCAAATTTTTCTTAAATTAATATCTACATTCTATCAATATCTATAAACAAAATTGTTTATAAAAAGTCACGATAGGTGTGATATGTACTCAGTGCTTATGTGCTCAAAATATAATAGAAATTAAATCTGTAGCCTGTGGCAAAATTTTTATGTAAATTTATAAAGCTCCTCTTAGGAAGCTCTTTTATAGGGAGTTAAACATGTGAGTAAGTCTTAGGATGACAAAATTATAATGGTGGCAGTAAAATCTCCAATGTAATTCAATAGTTCTGTTTTAATTATCCTCTTTGGTACTTGATAGAACACTGAGGTATTTGCCTCAAATGACTAAAGGCAAGTATTCATTGAATCAAACTGAATTATGGCTTAAACAACTGATGAAACCTGCATCAGAGTGTATCAGACTAACTTGCATTTAGATTATTTAAGATTTTGTTTGTTCACTGAAAACAGGAAAATTTTAAAAAATGAAAGAAATAATTCAGAAAATAATAATTATTCAGAAAATAATTTGGATATTTAAGAAAATATATTAACATAGTATGTTGTATGATTGAAAATAGTTTTATATCCAATTAAATAAAAGTCTAACAAAAAAGAATGTCCAAAACAAAAATAGGTGTACCTGTAATTGGAGCTTCTACTTCTATCATAGTTTTCTCTCTCCGAAGGATGGCAGCACCCTCGTTGATAATTCTAAGGGCAATTTCTTCATCTACCCGACCTTCTTTTACTAAATGGTTCTTCAAAACATCAACCCTGGGTATCCCATCCATATCAAATACTTCTTCAGATGTCAAGCGATGTGTTGGGGGGAAAGGGACAGCTGTAATTTTTTAATTAAAAAATAATAATATTAATATGCTAACAAAAACCTCAATGGATCTAGATAAATAAAAGAAAAATAGATGAGCTTTTGTTTATTGGACAGTGATGTTAATTTTTTAAAAAGCTTTTATTAAAAAAGTAATCCAATTACATTTTAATTAATATACAATATGCCCTTTGCTGAAAATTATTAGAGTGAATTTTCTCATAAAATTAAAAGTTCTTTCAAGATAACTAAAACTTTAAGTCAAAACATTTTTTGGCAAAATTCTCAAAACATATTATAAACCCATCACATTAAGTGAAGTATAATAATTACAACTTAATACTACATGAACCTGAATAAAAAAGGAATCTCAGGTACAAGGTGATCTGGTATATATATGTACAATGTTTTCCAGCAAAGCTGAACTGAAACTTTTGGGGGTATAGAAAGTCAAACTCTTACTTATGGAATTAAAATGTATTTGCACATGATCAAAGAAGTCTGAAATAACATTAATAAATCATACTAATTTTGAAATATTGGTTTTTCACCTACCTTCATATTTCACAAAACATTTTCATTCCCATCTTCAATATCAGTGCATTCCTTGTCACTGGAGTCACTTTTTGAGTTATCATACTTCCCAAAAGCAAACCATCTTCACTTTCATTAAATTGTCTCAAATAATAGCACCATCACTGCAAATTTATCTTAAGCCACAGTTCCCATTTGTCTTTTATTATTCATATAATTAATATAGATATGTTTTTACTCATGTAGTGTATTTATGATTTCCAAAATCACCAACTGTTTTGTTTTAAAGTGTTAAAAGGTAGGTACTTTTGAAATAGAATGGAAAATATGAGGAGCTGTTTCAATGAGATCTAATACAATTTTGAGGGCATATAACTAGATAAAATTACTAATATCTGTTATATTTATTTGATTCTCCCCCCCCCAGTAATTTTTAAACTAGATCCAACAAGTAACCTCTTTATTCATTCAAAACCAGCTTAAACTGAAGTAGTTTTTTTTTTATCTTAATTTTTTAAAAAGATTTATTTATTTATGCATAGAGAACTGGGATACAGGCCAGCGGTGCAGAAGTGGTTTGAGGATTCACCAGAGACAGAGTGGGGAACAGAGTAGGCAGACAGCAGAAGTACACTGCTGAGAGGAGCAGTGGGCAAGACAGGAGAGGTCTTCTGTGCCATGTGGATCACCTTAGGGCCAGAGAACTCACAACAGAAGCAGTTGCAGCTAGCTTGCAGTACTGAGAGTCTTAACCTAGTGTGCCACCAGGGAGGGCCCTAGACTCCAGTAATTTTAGGCTCTTTACTAAATAATACTGTTTTTTTAAGACAAAGAATGTAAGAAATTTATAGTAAGGGTATGTACAGACTCAAAAGCAGCCCTTTTGCAAAAAAATAAATTTATGTTCAGAAAAAAATCACTTTATGTTTGGGCATACAGTCTACAGTATTTTGTTTCATAGCCGTCTGTGATTATCAATTATCATATAGAAAACTGAAAATGGGCTCTTCCTGGTGGCACAGTGGGTAAGGATGCAGCACTGCAAGCTAGCTGCATCCGCTTCCATGAGAATTCAATCCCCTGCCCTGGAGGTGACCCACATGGCACAGCAGACCTCTCATCACCCGCCTTCTGTTCCCCTCAGCAGTGTACTTTGTTGAACTGCCTGTTCTGCTCTCCACTCTGTCTCTGGTGAATCCTGTCACTGCCCCTGCACCTCTGGCCTATACCCCAGTTCTGTATGCATAAATACATCTTTATATATATATATATATATATATATGTATGTATGTATGTACATATAATGTATATACATGTACATATATGTGTGTGTGTATGTATATATCTACAAAACTCATAGTTTAAAAAAATGCATACCGGTTGAGGGGCGAAGAAATGCCACCAGATAAAAACAGATGAAACTACAGAGGAACAGAATGCAAAATGGAGAATTATGAGTTTCTAAAGAATAGTATTAATCTACCAGTAAATAAGAAAACAAGAAGCAGTTTGGAAACTTGAGGAAGAAGTTAGAGACATAATATGATGACCAGGCAAAAAAAAAAAAAGATCAAATACAATTTGGCCTAAAAGAAGGTTAATTATTAACCCTATTGGAATAGAAAAGGTTTAAGTTTTGTAAAGAATTCTCTCAGTTTTATTGAAGGAAATGTAAGAGCTTTTTTCAACTGAACTAACATTGTAATTTTTAAAAGATTTATTTATTTATGCTTAAAGAACTGGGGTACAGTCCAGGGGTACAGGGGCAGTGAGAGGCTTCACTAGAGACAGAGTGAGAAACAGGACAGACAGACAGATCAACAAAGTACACTACTGAGAGGAGCAGTGTGTGAAACAGAAGCGGTCTGCAGCACCATGTGGGTCACCTTCAAGGCGGGATGGAACTCCACTGAAGTGGCTAGCTTGCAGTACTGTGTCCTAACCTTTTGCGCCACCAGGGAGGTCCCTGAAGGGACATTGTATTATGGAAGTTTCAGGTGTGCATCACTGAAAATTCATATACGTTCACCACAGTAGTGGGTATGGTATTGTAACAAGTGTAAACTTATACCCTTTGTTACTTCAATAAAAATAGTACAATAATAAAAAATAGTTGAGCACTGCAAGTCCAATTCTATTCTTCACTATTTCTTTCCATCAAAACTTAATACTCTAAACTACAACTTTGTTCAGCAACTGCTAAGCCATTTTAAAGTATTTTCATCTATTTTTAGGCTTTAAAAGGTTTTTCATTTCATTAGTCTTCAAGTCAATTATTTCTGCTTTACCAAGGGTTTCTTCCTACATTTTTCCTGTTATGTTCACACTATATTTCCTACTATTTGTATTCATGACATGAAAAAGTCAGAACATAAATATATGTAAATGGTCAATAGCTAAAATTTAGCTGGAACAACCTAAAGAGCTACAAAATCATCAACTTTCCAACATTAGAAAGTCTAACTTGGTAATACTCATTCTGACCAAATTATTCTGTTTAAAATTTTCCTTCAAGGCCAAAAGCATACAATGGGAAAGGAAAGTTTCTTCAACAAATGGTAATGGGAAAACTGGATACTCACATACCAGAGAATGAAATTAAACCACAACTTTACATCATACACATATATCAGTTCAAAATGGATTGATTTTAACATGAAACTAGGATTTTAACCTGAAACCATAAGATGCATAGAAGAAAACATAGGCAAAACACTCCACAATAACAGCTTCAGTGATACTTTGGGGGACTCTGGGAACAAGAGCAAGGAAAACAAAAATAGACAAAAAAAACAAAAACAAAAACACAAAAGGTTTGACTACCTCAAACCTCTGCATAGCAAAAAAATACAAAAAAGATGAAGACACCCTACTAAATGAGTGAAAATACCTGCTCATCACACATTTAACAAAAGGCATAATAGTCAGGACCTATGAAAATCTCAAATAACTAAATAAGAAAACAAATAACTCAGTCAAAAAAGGGGAAAGGAGGTAGACAGACACTTCTCCAAAAATATTCAAATGGCCAACAAGCATGTATAAACTGTTCATTATCACTTATCAGATATCAGGAAAATGTGAATCAAAACTACAATAAGATAACATCTCACAACTGTTACAACTATTGAAACAACTGCTGGTGATGGTATGGAAAAAGAAGAATCTACATACACTGATGATGGGAATGTTCCTACCCCTATGAAAACAATGTGGAAGTCCTAAAAATGTTTAAAAAAATACATCTACCACATGATACAGCAATTCTATCACTAAGTATCTATTTGAAGAATATAAGAGCATCAACTCCAAGGGGTTATACTCACTCCCATGTTCACTGAAGCACGATGTTCAATAGCCAAATTAAAAAAAACAACCTGAATGTCAAATGACACATGAGTGGATAAAGATGTGGTATTAAGTTAATGAATATAGTCATTCAACAAACTTTCATTATAAATTGGTTAAAAAAAAAGAGAAAGTTCCTTAACTTTATAATGAATAGCTGCAAAATAAAAAGATGTGATATATGTACACAACAGAGTATTACCCAGCTATTAAAGAATCGGACCCTCCCTGGTGGCGCAATGGGTTAGGACACAGCACTGCAAGCTAGCTGTGCAAGTTCCATCCTAGCCTTGGAGGTGATCCACTCGGCACAGCAGATCTCCTTGATCCGCCTGCTGGTCCCTTCAGTTGTGTACTTGTCGATCTACCGGCTCTGCCTCCTGCTCTGTCTCTGGTGAATTCTCTCACCATACCCCGCACCTCTGGCCTGTACCCCAAGTTCTGTATGCATAAATAAATAAATCTTTAAAAAAGAATCTTCCCATCTGTGACAACATGAATGGAATTAGAGGGCTGATGACTTTATTCATATATATATAATACAATGGAACTGACAAAACCAAACCAAAATAACCCCTTTGAATCTGACTGCAGAACTGAGGCTACCAGAAATGGGAGAGGTAAAAATGAAGGGTAGAGAGCATGCAAAAGATTGTGGTAAAGGATTACTGGTGCTTTGGTGGTGGGCATCATGTGGTAACAAATATTTTTTAAAATGTTAATATTTAAACACAGCAGTTTTGTCAACCAATGTAAAAAAGAAATTAATTTTATACACCATATCTCTCTGACCCACTCATCTGGGAAAAAATACTTTTAAAAATAAAATTATCCTTTAATTCAATTTTGACTGGAAAAGTATATCTGTAATCACTAACTTCCAGAAGGTATTTTCACTCAGATTTAATGTATGGTAGAAAACAATGCTTTTAAAACTTTATTTTAGAAAGCTGGAAAATTAAACAAGGTATTGATCAGTGATGGGGTGGAGGAAGGCTATTTTTTCTACTAGTAGGTAAGGAATCCTGAAGTTAGCTAATCTAGTTCTTCAACTCTAAGCCAACCCTACAAACTATTATTAGCCCATAAGGACTTCAACAGCAACTGACAACCTGTACCAACTGAACACC